AACAATGAAAGAGTAAAATTACATTTAAAAAAAAAAAATGTTTATAATGATTATTGACACTTTCACTTAAAACAAGTTTCAAGGAAATATAAAATATATATTCTTGGGAAAATCTATGTTAAAATGTGGGTATTTATTTCCAAATTTGGTCATAAGAAAATGAAAACCTGACGAGTTATGATTAAAAAAAATGACTTACTGCTATTCATTTTATTAACGTAACCATTCAGCTCATGTTTTCAAGTTCAAGTTTTTTTGTTTAGAGCAAATTTCAGTCCAGTCCAGTGAAGGATGGGCGATTGGTGAAGCATAGAATACACAATCACACCCAGATCCGATTCTTTTTATCACCAATAAATAAATTCATATCTCAAAGTCATATAAGAAATCTAAAACAATTAAAGATAATAAAAAAAAAATTCATATAATCACAGTAAATCATATAGAGTCAAGAGTTTGTTTTGTAAAACTGCTCATACTGTGTTTTGGTAGTACGGAAGAGGACACTTTGGTAACACCTGGAGTATTCTCGAGCTAAACGCTGCAAGCAGATGTCCCATGCTTTGCTTTGTGAAGAAAAGAAACAAGAAGACTCTTGTTCCCATTATTAAGAAACATGTCAAGCGTCAAAGTCTAGTTGAGTGATGAGTGGAGAGCGTATGCCAGTCTTTCCCATGAGGGCTACAGGCATGTCAGGGTCAACCACAGTCAGAATTATGTAGATCCATAAACAGGACTACACACTCAACACATTGAGAGAGCATGGCAGACATACAAGAGGGAAATTTAGCGTATGAGGGGGAATCGTTCTGAGAAGACCTTAAAAGAACAGCTCTGCTTCATAGAGTGGACCTACTGGTTAGCAAGAAAACATAAACATGGTGTACTTGGAAGACTTCTAAAGGACGTAAGAAATGCTTACCACAGATAAGACAAGAATAACTTGTACCACTAATCATCTCATCCCAATTACTGTAGAAAATTATTTTTGGATCCAATTTCAACTTTGCCATTTACTACACTATGATCTTTTATTATGTTAAAGATTGCAAAGAAAGTAAAAGTTTGTCCTAAATCTAATGAGATATAAAACTGTAAAAGATGTCATTACAAAGACTACATAGCCAACAGTCATATTAGTTTCAACATTGTTTCACAATAACTCATAACTGAAACCTTGTAGAGTCGATCATGTGTATTAGCAGCTCACAGAACTTAAAAACTCTCTTTTCACATAACTGCAGTTATCAATATGGCCAGATTTATTGTGATTTTCACCTTTTTTTAAGCACATTTTCTGTACAAAGTTGGAGTATGCAGTTGTGCAAACTTGTCTCTGTTTGCTCTGTTGATAGCTTATAGAGTTTGTCCTGTTCTTAACTGTTTTCACTTTAATTGGATAGTCTTGACAAATGTCTTCAAATGCTTAGCTACTAATGCCAACTTATAGTCTGTTGATAGTCATCTATATATATGTTGACAATCAGCAGATAGTCAAATTAGTAGCTTACCTATTGACAGTCAATTAATCTAACAGAGAGTTGACAAGTCAGTCAATTGATGAGTGAGTAACCTTGTGAATGAGGAGGTCATACTATCTGGATCATATGTTGACATCATACTGTTGACTTTCAAGTGACAGATTGATTCAGAGTAGTTGATTGTCAATCAACAACATGTTTTTAAAAAAGACAGTCAGAAAACACTTTTTGGAAAATCTTGTAGCACCTTGAAATGCACCTTATAGTCTACTATTAGTGAGCTCAATGTTTGTTACTCGTCTGTTTTAAAAGTCTTGTTGAATATCAACTGACACACTGTTGACACGCAACTGAATATCTACTGATAGCTTGTTGAGCGTCAACAGATGAACTGTCAAAATATAATGTTACCCTTGCTTTTTGTAGGATTCCAGCAGTTTAGAGTCTCTTTTTTTATTGTACGTCTCATACAGCCAAAACATTTTTAATGGGTAAGAAGGGGGAACTGCAGGCAAAGTGCAGAATGTGGTTTGGCATTGTCTTGCTGAAAAAAGCAAGGCCTTCCCTAAAAAAAAGTGATCAATGGAGCCTTAAAAAATGTGCAGGCTATACATGCCACATGTACAAACCCCAATACCATCACATATGTTGGCTTTGCAATATGAACTGATAATAAGTAGTACAGTTGCTCTCCTCTTTTCCAGGAGGATGCAAAGTCCATGATGCTCAAATTCAACTTTTGACATGTTGGACTAGAGCAGGGATGTCAAAGTTCTATTGGGTCGGGGGCTGGATTTGTTCAAATGAGACCTGTTGTTCAAATGTATTATTGTATAGAAAACTTTAACATTAACATTAAGCAGAGGGGTTAACTGTCATTGCAAACTGCATGTTGGCACAGGGAAACATATAAATTTACCACATCACAGAAGAAAATATAAATAATTATGTTTTGTTTGAGGTTATTATATTATATTAAGATATTGCTGTTCAAGGTTATAGAAACTTTGACACAGGTTATTCTACCTGCCCTTGGATCAGTGCATGAGAGAGAGAGAGAGAGAGAGAGAGAGAGACTTGTGTGTGTCAGGCCACAGCACAGTTTGCTAAGGTTCATTACAGATAAAACCTGCTCACATGAATAAGTTGTCACAAACAAACAGAGTGTCTTTGATGCATCTTCAGGTATTTTAGTAGTCGGCATTATAAAATGATAACATGTTTCCAAACCAAAAGACTTGAATTGATCCTTCAGCTTTGCGCAGCAGTCTGATCTGCTCTGTGTGGAGTGCACGTTTTTCAACTAAGTAAACTCAGTTAAACGACTTTTGATACGAGTCTGGCAGTCTGTTCTTCTACGTGTCCGCAATATCGTAATCTAACTCTGTCACTGACTTTTTATGCTCCATGAATCTGTGCCATCTCCGTGCGTAATTCAAGGAATCAGCCAGATTCCTGCAGAACCTGCTCATCGGTTAAACCAGCGGACCTCTGTATGATTGGACAGCCTGTGCGTGATATCGTTTTAGGATAAGAATGAAATGTTCAGTAATAGTTATAGTTTTACAGTCTGATGAAAGCTGGTGATAAAGGTGCAACAGCAGGCTACTGCATTGAGAAGTGATGTCGCGCTGAAACTTTTAGGTGATCAACACAACATGTTCACCTCTGGGTGACCTAAAAATGAACCATCTGTAAATAAAATCAGTTAATATTCATTTTAATTTACTGTTTTTACAATAACCATCTGGCTCAACGCCAGTGTCCACAACCTACACTTAGTCTGGATGTGTGGAGACGGTCTTGGCCGTTACGCATGGCGGAGAGGATTGTTTTTTATTTGCACGAGCTGCTCTTTGTGGCTCACTCCATAGGAAGCTTTGATATTATCAGCCAAAACTTTTGTTTTACATCAGTGAAGACAGGAGAAACTGGAAAGAAGTGTGCACAGAACTGAAGGCCGTCATGATGCGTGCGCAGTGCAGCGGTTAAGTCCCGTAGCTTTTATAAAATTCTGGCAACTTGTGAGCAAATAAAACTAAAGAAATGTCGCTCCTTCGATCTCTCTTGAAATTGCATTCTGTGTCACCTCTCTCAGGTGTTCAGCCTGTTTTCTGATGTGATGTACTACCAGCGTAATGCAGGAGCAGCTCGTGATACTCCCTGCTGAGAAGAGAGTTCAAAGTGCCACGTTTAATTAATATTCGTATCATATCAACCTTTACGTTGCTCATTTTACATTTTTAATACAATTCGGGGAAAATACGTATTACAAATATTTAATTTATAAAAAATCTCAAAATATTTTTCAATACATTTCCTTCTTCCCAAAACATCTCGCGAGCCAGATGAAACCTGCTGTCGGGCCGGACACGGCCCGCGGACCGTATGTCTGACATCCCTGGAATAGAGGATAGTTTTCCTCTTCACCTCAGTGAATCTTATGAGTTCAGGCTCAAGGAAGTTGGAGGCGTTTCTGTATTGGGTTTATGTGTGGTTTCCTCTCTGCCAGGTAGAATTTCAGCTATAATTTGTTGATGCAGTGACAAACTGTGATCATTGACAATGGTGTAAGTGTTATAGAGCCTATGCAGTACTGTTCACTCATCATGTCATGTCTGTTTTTAATGCGTTGCCATCCGAGCCTTGTATCTTGTGTACACACATTTTCTATAGAATCTTTGAATATAACATTAAAAGATTCATACTCTAGTTGATCAAATTCTGCAATTTTGCATTGAGAAACATTATTCTTAAATTGGTGGTGAGTGGTGAACCCCTCCCCATCTTCAGACTGACTCAGCCTCTATGGGATGCTCATTTATATCCAAATGTTCCCGTTGCCGGTTAACCTTATTAACTGCAGGATGTTCCATCGGGTGTCTTCTTGAGCATTCTTTGGTTTCATGATCAAATTGTTAAATAGGAGAGCAAACTTATAGGTGATTCATAATCCAACCTGTCAGATATTTATTCTTTACAGCAACAGCATGGGGCGAGCTCACCCTTTAAATGGGGAGTTTTAGTTTCCCTGCTCTGGCTGTCAATTTTTTGCTCCTTGTTTGTAAAACAAATTTACCCTTTTCGGTACTAACCTAAAAAACCTTGAGCTTTCATGTGGCTGCAGGAGCTGGGGATTGAACCCCCAACCTTCCAGTTGAGAAACCACAGACTCTCCCACTGACCACTGCAACCCCTTTTTAAGAACTATATTTAATAAGTCATCATCACTAAAAGACACAAATTGGTAGATGATGTGAGCACTTGTTGCAGCAGAAAAAAATAATAATAATAAAGATTGTCATCTATCTATCTGGTCACACTTCACTCTTTATCCATTTATATTTTGTATTTTGGCATCCATTCCCCACTCTTTTCTCCACTATAGGCTAACTGTACTGTAAAATTCATCAGTCCAAGTCATAATAGCTTTCCCAACTGCGTGGTTAGATCAGTTTTATATCATCATTTTATTAAATGTACTCAACAAGAGTCATTTTGAAGAGTTTGTTGCTAAATATGGTATTAAATTCCACATGAGCGCAACGCTCATACGGGTTTGTACAATGTATTTAAAGTACTGGTAAGTGTGTTTTCAGCGTAAATAATGTTGGTAAAAAACTGTATAAACAATTCCATGAAAGCTTCAAATTAATTAAAGGTATGGCATAGAGGCACACGTTTTAGTTGCATTCAACAATCCTCTTTGTCCTTATTACAGATTCAGTCTTCCAACTGGCACAGGAGAGCAGAGCCTTTGGATATCCAATAATCACTGGGTCGCTTGGAGGGAAGCATAACTGTCACAACATAATTAGTTGAGTGACCTGAAATGAGACATAAATGAATGGTGTTGGAGTAGACTAAAACTTAACAGTGACAGGGCTTTATTGTCAAATTATTGTTATGGAAATGAAAACCTAAGAGCAATGGACTGTCAAGGTAAACTAACATAAACTTATAACATAATGTTCTTGGTCTAAAAACTCTGCCTTAACCTTCAGAATAAAAAAAATCACAGTTCATGCCTTTATATACAAAAATATGAAGGGTATTTGTCAGTGGATCTCATAGTACCTGTGGTTGACAGAGTCCCTGCCCTGGCTGAGGTTTTGTACAGAGGAGCGTGATAGAGGTCAGGTTCCGGCACATAGTTTTGCTGTGGCTCAAAGTGCATCACTGGCAGCATTGTGTTCATCACTTTTGGTAATGCATCCTCAATCACCATGTTGTCATCATCCCAGCGACAAGAATCCATGAACATTCCATGCACTAGCACGCCATTCTCAGGCTCTGGTAACTGTGGTTTCAAAATGAGATTAAGGAATGATAAATGAGAGATACATGTTAACATATATCAATCTCCTTTTTCAAATTCTGTCTCCTGAGTTAATATATGTAGCAATATGGATAGTATACTTTCAAATTTGTCATTGTTCTGACGGCCACTGTCCTGCAAGCATTAGCTACAAAAAAACAACTTTTTCATTGCCTAAGTAGAATCTGTTTATTGCAATTTTCATTAGAATCCAATGAAAGTTTACATCATATCTCAAGTGACTTGGTTGATGTCCAGTGCAAAAGTGTTTGTAAGTTGTTGCATATATGGGGACTTCTCCTTATTTCATGAGGACCAAATGTGTAAAAGAAATTAAGATTATTATATTTTCTAAGTGTGCTTTATACATTGTGTTTGCATTGTTGTTCTTGGGGTCCTGCATGTAGCTGCATAACACCTATCATTATTTACACATATTTGTTTATGTTGTTTGGTCTTCTGATCCTCCTGGGGCCTGTACTACAGAGCAAGATTAACATACCCAGGATATCTTTGGGTTATCTGGCTTCACTAGCCCTAACATAAGAGACTGTGATAAACAGTCATACGAAACCGGTTAGCAATCTGATAACTTCCCCTCGAGTTTCCAAGAGTGCGTTCACATAAAAGGGGCGGGGTAAGCTTCATATAACCTATCACAAGCATAACTGCGTCCCCCGTCAGCAGATCGCCATATCTAACAAACTCTGAACAAACTATTACCAACATAAAAACATTTAAAACAAACAGGCTCCCAGAGACTAAAGTTACACAGCTGCAGTAACAAATGCAGGAAAGACAACTAGCAGATAAAAGAAACATCAGCGAGTTTTAATGTCCAAACTACGGCTTAATAATAATAATAATTTATACCTTATTAATCCTGCGAGGGGAAATTCGGTTTTACACACTGTCTAATGAAAATGCTACACAAACATAGGCCGAAATACACACAAATGCACAAACAGGATCCTATGGACATGCATTAATGGAGAGGTCTCAGAATGAGAGCCACACTTGCCCACAGCGAGCGCTCCAGAGCAGTTTTGGTGTCCGGTGCCTTGCTCAAGGGAACCTTGGCAGTGCTCAGGAAGTGAGCACAATTTCCAGACTTAAACCGGCAACCCTCCGATTCCCAACCCAAGTCCCTACAGACTGAGCTGCTGCCGCCCCATTTATTATAATTCTTTCCCATCGTTAGTTCACCTTAGAACTGAAGATAATAACTCCTGTTTTTTTCTCTTAACTGGATGTGTTGCTCTTTCATGTGGTGATTGTAACAGTTTGAGAAGTTATATTTCTGCTGCAGCACTGACGATAACAAAGAGAGCGGTATGGAGAGACTAAACATTAAATATGAAAATATAATTCAAAGCCTAAGAAGCTGTTCATAATTTAACATCTTAAAAACACAACTCAAAGGCTCCGGTGTTTTTTTTTAGTCTCTGCTGAATGATTACAGATGATATCAGTTAAAAATAATCATTAACTTTACATACTATAATGTTATTATAGGCTACGGGACACATGAAGGGCCTCTCTCCCTCCTCCCCCCTCTCGATCAGCTGCGGGAGCTACAAGATCAAAAGATCTGATTGGTCAGTGAGTGGAGATATCCACAGGTTGATCCCATATCTCGGACATAACCTGCTCCGGAACAGGTTAGGTGTGCAGCATAAGCTACCGTGGCAATATACCCAGGTAACAAGTGAACGATCTTCGTAGGATTGAAAACCCAGGGTTAACACTGAAGTTACCTCACTATCCCCAAATCCCGCTTCGTAGTACAGGCCCCCTGTTGTCTCTAAACTGTGAGCAGACACTTCACCTTCCAATTACTCTGCTCCCACTCCTCACTAGAAAGACAGTTTACACTTACTGCTTCCGATGTCATCAAAATGAATCCAGGCCCCATGATATGGTGTCAACCATATTATTTTGGCGTAGGAGTGGACAGGTCAAAATGCAAAGCAACATCAGCAAGCCTTTAGAGGCTGATACTAGAAGGGCATTGATTCCAGCCACCATGTCTCTGAAGACATTCCAGGTTTTTTCATTCCTCATAAGTAGTGAAACTTATACAGGTTTTGTGGGATAATTGGGTACAGAAATTACCCTTGCTTTACAATCCAGTCTCCCATGTGACTGTGGAATAATGTCTGGTTGTGTTTCGTGGGCACTGTCCATTTAAAAAAATACATACCAATCAAACAGGCAAAAAAAAATAATTAATTATGTTCCATATTTTTTATTATAATAATTTTCTGGAGGTTTAAATTGCTGGGGTCAAATTGATTAAATTAGGTTAACAATTTCAGTATATATATAGGGCTGGCTGTGGCTCAGTTGGTAGAGTCATTGTCTCTTAACAGGAAGGTCGAGGGTTCCATCCCCAGCTCCTGCAGCAACATGTCCGATGTGTCCTTGGGCAAGACAGCTAACTCTGAATTGCTCCCATTGCTTTGTCAGCAGTGTATGAATGCGACTGAATGGGATTAGTTACTTCTGATGGTCTCACTACATAGCATAAGCTCAAGTCCGTCCATTTACCATTTACCATATTGTAGCGTAAAAGTGTATCCTATCTACATACAGTATTGGGAAACACCATTACAACTATTGCTCCTACAGTAGAGGCATAGCACATGTTAAAATGTATGATTGGGTTCAGTTGGCGCTGATGATCAGCCTTGGCCATCAGATTTGGAATGTGTATAAGGATGGGTGAATGTGACATTTATTGTTAATGCACGGAAGAGTACTAGAAAGGTGATATTTAAATGTTGTAAATTTACCACTTATCATTAGCACATGACTTTCATTTTCAATGTAAAAAAATAGGCAGGTTTTGTGCAGTCATTTCTTGTCTTAAAGCAGTGACTAAATTTACCAGAATCCTAAAACATCTTATATCACTCACACAATTCCTTGTCAGTACCTTCTCATCCATTTCCAGTTTATCGTTGTACGGCAGAGTGCTTAGAGCCTCACAAACTGCTACCTGATCTCTGTACACTGAAACCATGTTGAAGCGGAAGTTGAGCTCATCAATGGGGAAATTATAGTGCCTGGCATGATTCTGAAGCACCCCTACAGGCCAGGAGACACAAGTTAATATTAAAAACATAGGTCATAATCAACATTTTAAACAAAATTGTGAAATTCAGAATTTTTTTTCATGCGTGAAAGAAAAGTAGTCTACATGCCAAAGTCGACTAAAAGCCTAGCCAGGGTCAGGGGTTGCAAATTAGCCATGGCTAGAAACCTGTATGCATGGTATCTACTTTGTTTTTTTATATATGAAGCAATGTTCATTGCATTAGTCTCTGTTAAACAAACTAATAGAAAAAATATATAAAGCTGCCTTGAAATAGGCCTTACTGTTTTGGTGTGTGAAAACAATGTTATTTTTGTGCTGCAGGGATTTACCAGTAAGAAAGCCCTGAGGAAAGAAGAATCCTGAGATCCAGAAAGATTTTGGGTTACCACGTGTGATCCAAGTCTAGCAAAGAGAGAGAGTAAAGAGAAAGAGATTTAATTAAAGAATTTGTATGAAAAAATATGTCATATGTTCAGTTTTACAAGATTTGGTGCAATAAAGACATAGTGTTACCTTATGTGACTTGAAAGGGACTCTATAGCTTTGTAATCATGGGGCCAAATATTCTAAATTAATAAGTCAAATGTCCAAGAATAATTAAATACTCCATCAAAACTCCTTAATCAGAATTGAGGAGTTTTGAAATGTATATTGAAAGGGCTATAACAAACCTTTACTAATGATTTCCACCTAGATACTGTCTGGCTCTGCATGTCTTGACGTTTGTGGAAACAAACGTTGAATTAGGCAGGTGCTTAATCAGGAGCAATACAAAAATAAGGATACCCATCACCTTATGAACTAATGCAGCTCTCCCCGCTCTGTCCTGTTTGTCGGCATCTACCGGTATGTGTGTGGGGGTGTTTGTGTGTGTGTACATTACATACTGAAAAAGGGAACTAATATATGCAACTATGAAGAATTAAGTGCACTCCAGTAGATACATATGGCTGTAATTGTGTGTTGGCAATTATTTTCATCGGTCATCCAAACCTGGATAAATACAGTCCTGAGGGCTAGGTCTCTAACCCAGGAGGCCAGGGGTTTGAGAGAAGGATAGGCAGAGTTTGCCCAGTGGGTGGGAACCTGGTTGTTAAGGAAGCTTGTGTATATGCGGTCCATCTCCTCTGACATCACAACCAGACCTGCTATTGCCTTTTGCAAGGTGACTAGAGACATCTGGGCACACACAGAAAAATCATGCATCATAATAAGGTTGCAAAAGGGGCAATGAAGATTTCAAAAAATGTTGCGTCAATTGGATATATTGACGCAACTTAATATAAAGGAGTTTGGTCATTTGTTTTTTGTGCGTTTATTTACTTCCTCAGGTAATTTCCCTGTTGTAAAAAGTTGGATTTATCTTGCAATGTTTGCAAATTAAATTAGACTCAAGAAATTAATTTCGAAACTATTCCTTAGTTACGCGACTTCAATGAAATATATATGAAAAATGAGTGTTAGAGGGTCATGGTTATGTATGTCACCCTGAGCAGTCTCAGCAGGTTGTTGAATCGGTCTGCCTCCTGGGTCAGAACAATTGTCAGGGAGTTAAGGCAGCCCTTTTCATCTTGGACAAACAGAGTTTCAAGGGCCTCATCCATGTCCAGGCACTCTGCAAACAGAAAAGACAGGAATGCAGGTATGGAAACAGGTAGACAAACATGGACAGATAAAACATAGCACAAGACAATACATTTTACAAAATAGTTCCTACATATTTTAATTTTAGAATTCCATTCAAATTCAACATCTTATGTGGGCTCTTCCAATTATGAAGAATAATCCTGGCTGCTACCAAACATAATAATAATAATAATTTAATAATAATTTATACTTTATTAATCCCGCGAATTTGTTTTTACACTCTGTTTAATGAACATGAACACAAACATAGGCCGAAATACCCACACGTGCACAAACAGGATCCTATGGACATGCATTAATGGAGAGGTCTCAGAGTGAGGGGGCTGCCCATAGCAAGCGCTCCTGAGCAGTTTTGGGGTTTGGTGCCTTGCTCAAGGGCACATCTGCAGTGCTCAGGAAATGGACTGGCACCTCTCCAGCTATCAGGCCAATTTCCGGATTTGAGCCAGCGACCCTCCAGTTTCCAACCCCAGTCCCTACAGACTGAGCTACTGCCGCCCCAAATCCTGTTATTATAAGTGCCGACTCAGCTTTCATAATACCTGCCGGCATCAGAGATCTGCCCCCTAACAAACAAAGTTGCGGAGGCATAGGTAGAGTTTTTTCAAGCCAGACTTCAAGACTATTCAGCACCACCTTCGAAAAAGGAAGCACCATATAGCATGGAGAAATGTGCCCACTTCTCTATTACAGTTCCAAAATGTATTTTCTTTAGTTAGGCCCATTTTAAACAATTTCAGAAATATAAAACAATATCTGTGTATAATTTTAACATCCTACATTTAAAATCATTTCCTGCCACAAGTCTTCCCTAATATAAGTATTAAGGTCCTTTGTCCATATTAATCTTAAGATTCCACAAATTCTGCTTTGGGTATTTTCTTATAAAACAATGAAGCAGGGTGTTGGATGCTAGGGGAATTCAAAAATTCTGATGCTTATTTTGTTCTTCCTCTTCCCTTTTCAGTCCAAAGACAGATCCTATGCTACCCCTCAACTGTGAGTACTTCCAGAAATCCCCCATGTCAGTTAAATTATGTTGCTCTTTAAGGTAATCAAAAGACCTAAATGAGCAGTCTCTAAATACATCGTTGATAGAAAAAAGTATTCAGTCCACACACCAGAAGTAGCTCCAATAAATGAAATTTAATGGACTCTCACGTGTAACATTTCGGGCTTGAACAAGTCAATGGACACACCTCCACATACAACCCTGAGGCCACCTGACAGGTCATGTGATACAAAACCAGGAGCAAAATAGAAATTAGGCTATGCAAAAATTTAGTGATAGAAGTCCACAGGACCTATGCATAGATATTACAAAATACAAAAGTGAAAACAAAAATTATTTTACATTGGTATATGTCTCCAGCAGAATAAACCTGCAGTCACAGGAGGATTACCATAATAAATCACGAACTATAAACATCAGGAGATATCAACATAATGAAACGTAAGCACAAAAACAATAGAGGTGCTAATTTTTTTAAATGAAACAGAAAAGCACAGCAATGTGCCATACAGGTCTGTAAACTTGAGAGGCCCAAAACGTTACACGTGAGAGTCCATTAAATTACATTTATTGGAGCTACTTCTGGTGAGTGGACTCAGTACTGTTTTCTATCTTCTATGCTTGGCACGGTTAAACTGGTTTCCGGTCCTGGAATGCAGAAGTAAATAACAGCCCATCTGGAGGCAATTAACATAATTAAAATAAAACAAGTCTACAATCTCTCATATTCTGTCATTTATACACAATGCCCTGGGTTGAAATATGATTGGCATGCTATTAAAATTGTAGTATACTTTTCAGACATTCAGGTTTAACTTTCAGCTGTGAATAATATGTAGTAATAGAGCAAGCCAAGGACCCTGTAACTGCAGCTTCTTGTCCAGCTGTGGCACATTCACTGTACAGTCTAAAAAGCAGGAAAATCTGAGTTGGTAAAACATATAAATACACAGTATATGAACATGTCATATTTGTTATTGGTTCATGCCCATAATGTGGCAAGATATTCAGACACTGCCACCGACGAGTTCAAACAGCTGCGCTACGGCATTTTGATCTCTGACCTGGCACTTTGCATTGTGGGATACAGTACGCGAAGTAGTCTGGTCTGATGCATACTGTACATTTTCCCCGAATCAGTATGACATCCTGGTATTTTTGGCATACTGCGGATCTCGCAGTTGTTCGCATAGTATAGTATGCGGTTTTGAAAACAGCCAATGATTGAAGAGAGTGGCAGCTAACTACGGCATAGTGCGCGGCGCACAACGAGTATGTGTGAATTGGGGGTGAGTTGTAATATTAAGTTCCCTCCTTACCCACATCTTTATAATATAAAACCCATAAGGGGAGATGTTTCAATTTACATTTGTCCAAATTGATTAAATGCATCCTATTGGGGAGTATTTATGTATAGCTATGTACATACCAGGTAGCTTAGCTAGGATGGATTCCGCAAGCTCGCAGACAATGTCATCATCACTTTTTGCTCCATGACAGGCTGATGAGCGAGGACTGACATCCAGTATGGTGTTAATTAGAGTCACAGTTTCCTGGCGCTGGCAAACAGATAAAACACAAGCGACAAGTGAGCCTTTTTTGGTATTTCACAGTTGCAGTCTGATTCTTTTCATGAGTGCCCATAAGATGAATGAGCAACTCCAGATTTATCATGAAGATGCCCATTAATGATAGAATTAACTTATTAAAATGAGGAAAAAAAATAAATTTGCTGATTATGAAAAGTCTAATTATTTATTTTAAAAAATCCACAATATATAAACCAGTCATATACTGAGGGGTGATATTAACATAAAGTGACTAAGTTTAAGGAGATGGGCAACCATGTGCTACCAAAGCTGCTTTAGCGCTCTTTTTGCATTGATTCTGCAAGTCTCTGGAATATCTTGGATGGATGAAAACCATTGTTCCACAACATATTCCATCATTTAGTGTTTTGATGATGATGGAGGGTTGCACTGCTAATTGAAAACCATCTCCAGTGATCACTCACAACAACTATGTATTGATTAATGTGACCATTTCCCTTAAGAACAATAGTGGACCCAAACTACGCTAGCAAAGCACAGATTTAATGATTTCAGGTTTTCACTTTATTTTTTTATTGTGGTAATTCACAGACTTACAGATAGATAGGCATAATTTGTGAAATTATATTTTTGGTTCTTACCTGGAAGACCAAGTTGGCATTTTCATGCATGCCAAAAACTTCAGGGTCATCTATGATAGGAAGACTTTCAATATATTTCTTGTATGCTTCAAGTTGATCTGTCTCTAGGTTGTAGTAGAAACCTTAAACACACAAGTGGATAAACCCTTATTCCTCAAAAACATGAACATACAGACAACCAGACTTCTGCATGCACAACTTTGCATAGTGTGGATGCACCCTAAGATTAATAAAATACCTGAGGGGGAGAAGGTATAGCCAGGCATAAGGGTTTGAGGTGAGAAGAAGCCTTTAAGGATTGTCCTGAGGCAGCGTTGGTCCCAAGCATCTGTCACTCTGCCTCCATATGTAATCTCAGCTGGAAGAGACACAAAAAACACTTAAGGTTAAGTAAAAATTGTCAGGGGAAAGCAAGTTTGAGTTCAGGACAGATTGGAAAACAGCTCTGATTTCAAGTGAAGCACTTCATTTTCAGCACTCAAGGTTACTTTAAAGGCATACTTCACCTGTTGAAACATGAATCTGTATTGACATTAGGTCATATATGGAGTAGAAATGTGAAATAAATTTTGAAGTTGGTGCCTTCTTGGCAAGTTTGAGCCCTATTCACAAGAGATTAGTATTACTGGAGGCCTCTGGTAATTTGTAATAATTGTGGGGAAGGTCTATGCTTTTAATCGAGTGAATCAACCATGTCTGTAATTTGTAGTAGTGGTAAGTAAAAATTCTATGGCAATGCAATTACCATATTTCAGCAAAACCAGAGGTACTCTGTGTTACGTTTTCTCCCCCTCTCTCACTCCTGTGTGCCCCCTAGGTGTTGCTTCTCAGCCTCAGAGTGCACAGCCACAACTGTGGCCATTAATCAATCAGGGGCTGAGCTATAAAGAGCAGGAGAGGAGGCAGCCAGTTTCCAGTGGGTCATTCGCCTGTTTGTGTCTTGACGTCGCGCAAACTTCAGTGAAGTCCTTCTGTGGAAGGAGTGTGTTTGTGAATGAGGCCCAGTTGTTTTTGACTGATGCCTTACTGCTCTCATTGGGCCTCATTCACAAACAGTGCGTACACAAATCTTTTCTTAAACCGTTCGTACTAACGTTTGCCACACAAATCTGAGATTCATCAATATATTTTATATGTATTCTTACTCTGCGAAAAAAAATAGAACTTCCTCAGACCATGCGTACGCACAAATGATTGACCAGCTTTCTCAAAATACAAAATACAATCAGTAAAAATATATAAACATATATATTTCATAGACAAGAATTAAAACCGTGAATTTACTATTGCATTGACTAAATGTATTAAATAACCATTAAATGTATGCCTTTTTATCCTTATTATTCTTCTTTAATCTAAAATCTTTAATCTTAAATTTAAGAATTTATTATATGACTTTGTACACATTGAAATGTAACAGTTTTGACTTTCACTTAATCGTTGACCACTCCCACTAATATTGGCCATGACATATTGCATCTGTTACCAAAACCAGCTGATTAATTGGAGCCTATTTAAGGACATGCAGGGAACATACAGTAAATGATTGTGATTTACATCCTCGGAAGTGTAAAGATTCAGCCTTGTGCCTTCAGAAGAGAGCGCATCAGACAGTCAAAACATGAGTGACGAAGGGCTTATCAGCTGATTCCGACTGCCAATGCATGTACCGAATTGCTGCAACTATGTAATTCCATGGAACGGCATTTAAGCCTCCAGACACACTGCTCTTTTTTGCCCTTTGGGGCCATTTCTTGCAACTTCTAATCGTCTCGACCTCACTGCTCTCGTCCTGATACAACCATCGGATGTCCTTATTGAGAGATGGAGGCGTGGTAGTATTCTGATTGCAGGTTGCGGGCACCTGCCTGTCAATTCAGAATGATTCTGATTCACTAACATACGCAAGGTGGTGAGAACAAAATTGGCTTGTATGCTTGTGTCATGAATCTGACGGTGATTTTGCAATATGCACTTATTTTATGCAAGGAGTAAGAACATTTCTACGCATATATTAGTGAATGAGGCCCATTGTATTTTGTTTGTTTGTTTTGTCTCTTTTTTTAAATTAGATTGGCTTCTATTTTGTTTGTCTTGTTTTTTGTTGAAAATTTTCTTTGGATTGTTAATAAAAACTTTTAAACTTTACTTATATTTAGGCCTCCTTCTTTTCCCTGGGTTTTGTTTTATTGTTACTCTTCATTCCCTACCTATCTCAGGGAAGGTAACAATTTGGGGGCTCGTCCGGGATCCAAAATGAGATTGGGAATTTTTGTATAGGCTGAGTTGTTTTTTTTATAGTGTAAGTAGTTGTTTTGGATTCTTTCTGTCTAGTCTTTAGTGTAAAAGCTTCCTCGGTCTAGTTAGGGGAGTGTCCAGTTTGGTTGTTTCATGCCATCTTTTCGGGCACTCCTTTTTTATTTTGCCTTTCTTATTTCCGGGACCAACTCTGGGTGGGGACTGTGTTCCCTGGCAGGAATAGGCATTTTGAAATTTCGGCCATTGATGCAGCCTTTAAATGTGCCTCTTGCCCGGCAAGTCAGTTCTGAGGAAGTTGTGTGCGTTCACAGACTAGTTGTGTTCTGAAAATTAGAGTTTGGCATCCTGCATCAAATTTACCTGGTTCATTAGTGAAGTGAGTGCAATGAGTCGGTTAATTTTTTTAAGCTTTTTAGCTGTGGCTTATGGGGATAAGGCATTGTTCATTCTTGGTGTGTGTGTGAAAAAGTTTGCTACAGTCAAAGTTAAAAGTCTTTAGTTTGTTAATAAAAACTTTTGACAGCACTTTGGGTGCAAATTCACATCTCCTTACACAGTATGGGGACCCATTTGCTGAAAGCGCAAACTAAAATCAGTCAGTAGAAACCGATGTCCAAGAGTAATTGACACAATGACATGGTGTGTGGCAAGCATTTAGTAAGGAACAATTCATAGCATGTGTACATTAAGGCATTGTTGCCTGCAAAACAGGACGTTCACTACAGGGAGGATGTCATGCAGCACATTAATGGTTTCAATGTCAGAAAACTTGAGTAAATTTCATTTTTTGATTATCCAGTGTGTATACACCGACACTGACTTTGTGCAGGTCATTCCAAAATTACCAGAGTTCCTCGAGTAATACTTATCCCATGCAAATAGGTCTTTACTCTGCTTACATCAGTTCTGCTTGGTGTATTGAGGAGAAGCCTTTTCTATTGTATATGATTGTCCTATATGATTTTCCTCCTGGTTATGTTAGAGACATGATTTAATGATTTTTAGGTTTTTGTTGAGGAATGGTCAGTAAATTGGTTAAGATTATCAACTGTTTTTGACCTTGTGGTCATGTATTCTATACCCAGCTATGAAGTCCTGCATTTACAAGGATAAGAATTTAGATAAACCTTCATGCAAGCATAAACACTTATCTTTGTGTGTAGACTTCCCTACCTGTTATGAAGATGAGAGCATCCCAAGGGATGGTGCCGTCTTTGCAGTAGAGGTTGAGGTTTAGCAAAGCACACTCCCTGTCACTGTCAGTAAACTCATAGCCGATGTTCCAGCCCAGAGGACCAAACTTTTTCCGCTCCTTGGACACACGCAAGTCAAATATACGTACATAAAATATGCATAGAATAACAGTCACATGGCCCTGCAAGCAAGGCAAACACAAAAAAAGCAAGAAGAAAGCCAGAGGGCAAGCATGTTTAGGCATCAAAGCAGTAATGACTAGTCTTATTTGAAGTTTTAAACCACAATATTTAACCTGGATGATTGCATGAAAAAAGCAAATTCCAAAGACAATCTTCCTCCACTGGCTTCCCAGGATGTGGTCTTCAAAGAAACTGCTGGAGATCTCAGTGAAGGCACGTCTCATATTGGCACGCAGGCCTTTAGGGGGCTCATTAGTCACCTGTCGGCAGCAACAACACAGAGGCACACATGGCATGATGACTGATAGTGAGACAATATAATGAGTTTGGCTCTGGCTACTAAAATCATTGGATAGCCCTGTAGCCATGGTCCTACTTTACATTAAGGCAGTCAGTTAACATCAGTTTTAAAAGTGATTTATCTCAGCTCTATTAGTGGTCTTATTGTCATTTGAAATATTTATCAGAGCAAAATAAATAGGCGGCAGTCGACCAACTCTACCACTGTAGATCAGTAATTGAGTTGGACGACTCTCCATCGGATTGTGGGGTGGTTCAATCCCCCCACCTCCTGCAACCACATGCCCAATGTGTCCTTAGGCAAGACATTTAACCCCTAGTTGCTCTGGCTGCTTCGTTGGCAGCATATGAATGTGTATGAATGGCATTAGTTGCTTGTGATGGTCAGTCTCTGCCCTCAGTGTGTGATAGGTCGTTAATAAGTAGGTGTGAGTAGCCCTTTGAGTAGTCAGAACAGAAGACAAGGAAAGCTCTACTGTAAATAAGCTCAAGTCCATTTACCATTTACTATAGTCATTACCCGCAGCACTACAGCAATTCTCTCACATGGAAACTTGTGAATTCTTCCTTAAGATATGTTGTACTGCTAACCTTAGAAGCTGGATAATGAATTTAAGGTCTATAGACATAAACTCCTCAAAAAAAGTTTGGAAACAGGCTTGACAGCGGCTCTCAGGGACCACCGAGTCCTATCTGAAAGGCCCTTTAAGATCCACTTGAGCTCAGGCATTATGACTGTTGTTAGGTTGACTGAAAGTAAGATAGAGACAGCATTTCCAGCATGGCGGCCGTGTAGACGGACTCCAAAAGCCTCCTTCAGTAGCCAATGGTTGACGTCACTCAGGCTTCGTCCATGTCTATTTATGATCTCACCACAGATAAAACAGATGGAACAGATTTACATGGAAAAACTTACTGGATGCAAGTCATATCACATGCATCCTGAGTGCCAAGTAAGTTAGATTTTTGTACACAGCGTTCAGCAACTCTCAGTACCTCAGGTTGTGAGTGGCTATTCAATGTCTCCAGAGTAAGCTATGCTCACATTCTCCTTCATAAGTTGCAAATTGATTCTTTCAGTTCACCATTGACAAAAAATATCAGCACATTCAATGAGTGCATTCACTCAGGGCATTTTAGGCTTTGAAAAGCTATATCAGACTTGCAATTACCGGTAGTCTTACTCATATACTTTGTTATATATGTGTCTATGTGCACATGTCCTTACCTTTACAGAGTTTTGGAGCACTGTGACTGGAAATACTTTCGTAGGCATGGAACTAAGAAACAAACGAAAATCCCCATGGATTGATGTGTCTACAGAAGAACAAAAAGGAACATTACTCAAAGCCTCCACAAAAGCAAAAAGTGCAAGAAAACGTTGATTCAAAGGGGACATATTATGAAAAATCAACTTTTACAGTGTTTTTGAACGTATATTTGGGTAACCTGAGTCTCTACCGACCCACAAAATGTGAAATAAACCCATCCAGTACATTGTTTGCGGTCTGAATAAGTCTTACAACATAGAAAAAAGTGCTTCATTTCAAATGTGCTCTCCTTGTGACATCACAAGTGGGACTCTGGTTAAAAAAAAAAAAAAAAAAAAAAAACTCCCCTCCCCTGGTATCTCCACAGGAGACTGTTTTAAAAGGGGAAAAGGGGTATAATATGTCCTCTTAAAGGAGTTTTCCCAGATAAGAATTAATGGGTAAAAAACAATCAACAACAAAATGTAAATTTTGTCATTTGTGTCCTTTGAAGATGAATCAAGTCAAGTCGTGTGCACATTGGAGTATTTTAGGTGGGGCAGCTGTGGCTCAGTTGGAAGAGTTGTCGTCTCTCAATCAGAAGGTCGAGGATTTTTCAGGTAGTCTATCTATGTTAGCTGAGAATATTATGACATCTGGCAGCTGTGGTTCAACGGTGGAGTAAGCCTTGCATGCTACCAAATGCCTCAAGAGCTAATAGGCTTATAATTGCATGGAAATGGCTTTTACTCCTCTCCTTCTCTTTATGGCACATCACATTGGTAATTATGGTCCCCCTCAGAAATGACTTATGCAATCATGAAGCCGAGCTAAAATCAGTATTCAAAGGAAAAAAATCACCTAAAGATTCGAGAGTGACAGCAGGGCATGACGAAAACAGAAGGGAGAAAAGCTTCAGCCACAGTGACAGACTGCTGGAGGAGCTGGAATATGCTGCAGCTAAATTTCCCCTGATTACCAATTATTAACAAGTTAAAGACTAGATCCTGGTAAAGATAAAAGTTATTCACAAAGCATCTTAGCCCTTAAGAGAGCTCCTAAAGTAAAGATCTAAGGATTCTAAGAGTTTCTCACAGAGAAGAAAGAAGGAGAGAAAGGTGATCATAACAATTCCAGTTCTATCACAGCTTCATATTAATATCAGATTAAGTAGACTCTTACAGTTACCAGCATGGTGAATAAACAGGAGCACATAGTTATAAGAAAAATACAAAATATTTTATATAATTAGAGCTCAATTAAATAAAAGTTGTAATTTAATCTTGCATCAGAATGGTTCAAGAGTAAATTGGTGACTGTTATTTTTCAAATCAAAAATAATGTCCTGGGCCAGCGGTTACAATGGTTGGGCCAGTGATCTTTGAAAACTAGTGGCCCAGAGGGCCACTGGCAAATTTAACTTAATGTCAGCCCCTTAATGTACAGCTGCTTGCTGTTGTTGCTATTCTGAACTCCTATAAAATTACGGGAATATCGAGTGGAACCTTTCAAAACACAAGGTGTAGTCCTTGAGTTTGTGTTTATGCCCGTGCTTGGATAAATTGAGAAGATTTAAGTTGCTTGTTGCAAAAACTAAATTGATTTAGAGGGGAAAACACATTTGATATAAATACAAACTTAATATTAAAACATACCCTAAGATAAGAGAAAAAAAAAGATTGTCGATTCCCCCGCAAACTCAACCGCCCAGGTATCTTGTCATTCTGTGGGAAACACTGTTACTATCATAGTATATTACTAGTAAGATACACAGTGGATGTGTGTCTGATCACGCATGCTCTGTTATCTAAGGTAGGGTGGGCTGCTACATGTTAGCCAACCAATAATTGTCACATGACCAATGAAGCGTATTGTAATTGGCTGGATGTTGGTTTGACTTGATCTAGAATCGATCGCTATTCCTTGGATTCCTGGATGTTTAATCTGAATGCATTCAGGCTCGAATGCCTATCTGGTCATGGGTAGCCAGGATTTTGCTTTGTGAATTTTTTTAAATAACATTTTGGGATCTGAATTTGACCAATTGAATTTGACAGATTGAATTTGACAGATTGTTTAAGAGGTGAATTCAGATCAAAAAACATTAAAATACATAGTTTTCAAAGTAAAATATTTCAATGCTATGAATTCAGTTGTGTTTAGTAGTGGCTGTAAAATTTCAAAAAGTGATGTCTCTGATATGCTTCCATTCCCAAGGCCTACTCTAGACTATTATTTGTAGATTTCAGCTCTGTACTGAACACCTTGCAGCCAGGTATACTATTCAATACATTAACCAGCACTGGAGCACTCCAGTGATGTGTTTGCTCACCTGCTCTGTTCACCTATTAAATATACAATTTTCAGATGACCACCAATCTGGGGCTAATACAAAGGAATGCAGATGTTCCAATGTATAAGCCCTCAAACATCATATCCTCCTGAACACACACATACACACGCAGGCACGCGCACACATACAGACAGATTGACAGGCACACACGCACTCCAAACGCATGCCAAACGCACAAATGTAAAGTTCCTTCCTGCTTTAAGCAATCACAGTTGTTTAAAGTAGGCACTGAGTATTTTTGGAGGTTGATATTCTTATTCCTGGGAAAAACAGTAGAACAAAATGTACTTCTAAATGTGTCGGCAGCCCAATATCAAAAGGGGTCTAAGGAGTCAAAAGGCTCTGCCCTTATCAATCAATTGAGAACTGCACTGTTTCTTTGCTGTTGTAGTGAGATAATACCAAGCTCAGTGAAGGTCTTGATGAGCTCCTCCATGGCTAACATCCAGGAGACAGCCAGATGACAGTTCTGCAGAAAGACCCAGTTACCACTATTCAGGGCTTCAAGGACCAACTTCTCTGCTATTGGCCCCTGGCCTTGACCCAATGAGATGGAATCCACCCTGAGAGACAAGGATAGATTAAAATACCGGAATGATCATGTGTTAACAACTCTTAGAAAGCTTATCTGTCATGTTGGTCTTTGTTTTACCTGTCAAGATAACCTCTATCTTTAGCGAAGCGCTGGAAGGCACCCATTGGATCAGAGCCTGTGCTAAGAATGAAAACCAGTGGTGTGGAGGGGGACATATCGTTGTACAGACTCGCCAGGTCAACTGGAGGGTTTTCCACAAACTGCTTCCCCAAGCTGACAATCACAAACTCTGTTGCTGCAAACACCACCTGGACAAAAAGAGGGGTTGGGGTGATGTAAAAGCTTTCAACTCAAACTTTGTCAGCACTGTGGACACTGGTGCTTGTATTTTCACACACAGCTTCTCTGGGTAATGTACAGACAAGTTCAGGGGTTGTGTAAAAGGTGCTTTTGAAAATGTAGACCTAAAAAATGACAGATGCAATAACAAAATGATGTTAAGAATATTGTTTAATTGACTTCATCAGGGCTTACCTTCTCTTCCATGAAGCTCTTGATGAGGACAAGCTTCTGGAAGGACCCCAATCTCTGATTCCAGTCGCCCCTGATATCTTGCTCCCCTCCTTTGGACTCCCCAAGAGGAAGCAAATCTGACACATAGCCATCCCAGTTCTTCGGGTTAATAGATGCCTGAAACCGTCCTAAAGGAGAGTTGATTTAATAACACAAAAATGTTCAAATACCACTGCTTAGTAGTGTATATTGTATGTGATTTGTGTCTATGGAGGGAGAGGAATGGTTCGACTAAATTATTCGACAGTTGAAAAAATATTTTGTTAAAAGGTGTTTCATTAAAGTATTCATAAAAAACTGTTATTATTCACTCAATATGCTGATTCTTGCTTAATCATTCAGTATAACAACGATTTTGGGTTACCTAGCTCTATCTGGAGATTGACTCTGGTGATTTCCTTGGAGATGTCCTTGAAGCAGGGCAATGTGTCTTCCAGCTCACAACAAGTCTTCCATTGAAAATCACTTAGCCATGGCACATCTGGCTGTTCTGCATACACCTGGGGGGATGAGAAAATGAAAAGAAGGAAATTATTACAGAAGAAGAGGAGATTGGAATATGTTGACAGGCAGACCTGAGTAAGATAAGATGAATTAATTAATTAATTTGACCACCAACCCCACAATCCATTCACAAGGGTATTACGAGCTTGATAAAAACGGATACTGAGAAACTCAGAAAACACTATCATGAATGCTTAATGAGCTTGTAAGGTTAAAAAATGAAAATTCAAGGGGTGCTGCTGGTCTAGCAGTTAGTTAGCATGCCCCATGTACAGAGGCTGTAGCTCTTGAGGTGGGCAGCCTGGGTTTGAGTGTAATTCCCCAATCTCTCTCCCTGATGTCTGACACTGCCCACTGTCCTGTCTCTATGGTAAAGGCATTAAAAAATAAATGTATAAAAAAAAACTTAAGATTGAAAATAAATAACAATGATAAAATTGAGGAAATAAATAACATAATAAAACAGTTGAAGACAATCCACACAAAATAAAATAATAAAACACTCAAAGGTAATTCAATAAAATATATAAATAAAAAATGGAAAACGTATCCATAAAAATAAAATAAAATAAAACAAAAAGATAATACAACACTACAAGCTAATCCAGAGAATAAAATAGAATAAGATTTTATATGAATCAATAAAACAGAATAGAATCTAATATATGTAAATAAATACACAACTCATTTACTTACTTTTAAATCCTGACCACCTTGGATAGGAGACTAATTTTGTCTTTCTTGAATGGCCAATTTATGTTGCAGTTCAGTCAAAAAAACAATGAAAATTGTAAATTGCAGACCCTCTTTATGCCTTTCAATATCAGATTTACCAAAACATAAATATTTGACTTTACAAAAAAGCAGTTAAAACTACTGATTTGTCTACGAACAAAATATAGTTTACTGAAATCTCCTTGCTGTCTTTACTTCTCTGAATTATAAAATTTAAAATAGTGGCATTTTTATGACGATTTGACTGTTTAATTTTTTGGTAAAGCTAGATTCTAAATTGTGCTTTTTTCACTTAAGAAATATCAGTAAGCTGAGAACATTAGTGTCTTTCACAGAACTTGAGATGATTTTGCACACCTTTGTCTCATCTCGTATTGATTATTGTAATGCTCTTTTCACCTCATTTCGCATGTCTGCCCTAAACCATCTCCAGTCAATCCAGAATGCTGCTGCTGCTCGATTACTCACCAGGTCAAACAAATGGTCTCACATCGCTCCGATACTGAAAACACTGCACTGGCTGCCTGTGGCATATAGTATTAAGTTTAAAATTCTCATTCACGGTCAGGTCCCAGGTTATCTGTCAGAACTCATTCACCCGTATTCACCCAACCGTTCACTAAGGTCAAACACCCTACACCTGCTGTCTGTCCTGCAGACACATTTTAAGACTCGTGGGGATCGTGCGTTTCAGTCCATAGCACCAATCCTCTGGAATTCTCTACCCATCTCCCTACGTCTTTCTGACTCTGTTGAGTCTTTTAAAAACAATTAAAAACGTTAATGTTTAGACAGGCCTATGGGTCATCAGGTCCACCAAAGTTTACCAACTCATCTATGTTTTATTGTGCCAATCATTGTTCCTGGTTATAGCAGGATTTTATGATGTCATCCATGACGTACTAATTTTTTTATTTTTTATTATTTCATTGTATGTATGCTGTTGTTGTTTTTTGTTGATGTGAAGCACTTTGTTGCCTTTGTCTGCGAAAAGCTCTATATAAATAAACTTTATTATTATTATCATTATTATTCTGTACAGCAGGCTTCGAATTAAACAGTGGCGTTTGGGGAGCCCTGTTTTCTGGCGTGCACCATGACTTCTTAATTCATGTGTAATTCCGTGGCAGCATGGTCAGAAGAACGACATATCACTGAACAAAAAATTTGGAAAGCACCTGAAATTTGTGAATGCATCCCTGATTCCATAAAAGCATTATATTCAGCAGCTCTGTTAGAGTGATAATATTTAAGACCTGGTATTTATAAATGGCGTCACTCGCAGAATTTCCAGTAGTCATGACTTAAATTCCACTTTATTTTGCCAGAAAAATACATCCTCCTTTAATATATTGAATACACACTCTAACGCTTTCATATCAAATTATTTATAAAAAGATGCATTTTGTTTTGAAATGCAAGTAGAAAATGTTATTCCCCTTTATCTTGTCAGTTACAATTACCAGCTTGAAGAATTTGCATTTTTACCTTTTCAAAAGATGGAGGTCCTCTCAGGAAGTGCTGCCATTCAGCATCAGAGATCTCGCCACGCTGCCTCATGACCTCTATACACAACATAAAGCTGTAGATAAGCTTGTGCTGTTCAAAGAGGCCACGGGACACATTAATGTATGAATTAAGCAGGATCTGATCCAGCAGGATTATGAGGCGCTCCTCTAATATACTGCTCTTCTCAGACGTTTCAATGGTAGAGTTGAAGAGCTGAGTGTGGAAGGAAAAACCGACAGAAAATGATTGACAAAACAGGAAGGAAAAAAAGATATAAACAAAAGATACAATTTCCATATATTGATTTAACATGAGTAAAAAAGAAAACAATGGAGATAATCTCTATAATATACTGTATGTCAGGTTCCACTCTATCACCTGTTTGAAGTATTTAAGGGAGAATTGGTACATTGGATCAATCTCAGAAAGACTGGCAATGACAAAGTACAAGACTGAGCCTCGGGTGGCCACAGGTCTGTAGCGTTCCCTTGCAGTGTTGATCATTAGCTCAGTGGCCTCTGCCTTCTCAAGACGATTTTTTATAGTCTCTGATGTCAACTGCAATGTTTGAAACAAGTAGAGAATGATAATTAAATGAGGTAAATAAATAAAAAACAGGATATGTAGCAGAGAAAAAAAAACATATAAGGACAATTCCAAACACAGGTTGTCATGATCCATATAGATGATGACAGATAATGTCTAATTCACCATCAACATGGAACAAAACATTTATAAGTATTATATATAATTTGCATTATCTTGGATTTACCTTTGACTCCTGTAGTGTCTGAACTAGCTCTTCATTGTCAAGTATATTTCCCTCAGAATTGAAGAGAAGCTTAAGGATGCGGTCTTCAATATATTTGAGCTGGTTTCGGTCAGCATTTATGCACACCACAAGCTCATTCCTCTGTTCCTCAAGATGTGGACTCTCCAGACGCACTACATCACTAAAGAGATGAAGAGGGGTTAGAGGAAGATTATGTTTTTAAAGAGGGTTGGGAACATAAAATAAATAAAAAGCAAATATCAGTCGCTAAACTGCCAGAGATTATTGTCAATGTACAGGTAGGAAAGGTGGGTCAATAGTATATTCATATTCGTGTTACAGTGCATTTATTTACCTTAGAAGTTGGTCCTCTAAGCCAGATTTGGTCACAGTGAAGTTAATAATTGTAACTTTGATACATACCTGAAATAGAAAATGGAAATTCAGAGACAAACATACACATATGAACACACATACAGATGAAAAATGTATTCCCTTCAACATTCATTGACTCTGCTACACTTCTACATGTGAAATAAATGTTATTTAAATGGAAAACGAATACTGCAATGTTTTTAAAATTTGATGCATTTTTAAAACGGCTGATATTCAACAAATAGGCTTTATAGACAATTGCTATGTTTAGCTAGAGATGCGGGTCAGTCCACAGTTCTATAGCTGCTAGACCTGTCTGCTGCCTTTGACACAGTTAACCATAAAATCCTCCTATCCTTGTCTCTGAACTTGGACTCTCAGGGTCTGCCCTCTGCTGGTTCATGTCCTAACTCTCAGGGAGATCTTTTAGAGTCTTTGAAGGGAGAAGTGTCCTAAGCGCACAATTTATCTACAGGGTTGCCTCAAGGGTCAGTTCTTGATCCCATTCTCTCTCCATATACAACTACCAAACTCCATTTGATCTGAGTCCCTTAAAAGACCCAGCTCTTTCGTGAATGCCTACACACTTAATGATCTTGATGATGACAACGATAGTGATGATGACGGAGAGAGGAGAAGAGCAACCTTTGTTCCCAGGGCTGTCCAGCTTCTCAACTCTTAACCCCCCCTCCCAACAGACACCAACACCTCTCACCAGACTTCTAAGCTGTGAACTTTGCTGTATCTACCTCCTTTTCTATTTGCCATGCACCTTAACGGCCTCTGCACTACATCACTTTATTCTATTCTATCCATTTTATATCAGCATTCATACAGTTCGGGTTACTTTATTCCTGTTGTTTCTTATCCATCATTGCACTACAGTCACTTTATTCATTTCAGTATTTACGTTTATAGTTATATTGTATGTATTAGTTCTGTTGTTCCACTATTCGCCATGCACCTTATAACTTATTATTTAGTATTTGCCTACTTGCACATAGCTCTGTATATATATATATATTTATATTATTTCTCGTTTACTGCACATAGTTCTGTATATATCTGGTCACTACTGCACATAGTTCTGTTTACATCTGTTAGTCTGATCAATGTCCACTTATATCTACTCTTTTTCATATTTTGTATTTTAAGTTAAGTTTAAGCTTTAAGTTGTATTTAAATTGACACTTTATATTTAGGTTAAAATGTTTCGTCTACCTGCACTGTTGTTAATTTACTGCTCTGTGTGCCTTTGAATGCCCCCCTCCCCCCGTGTGCCTTTGAATTGATAAAAACCATGGCGATTTTAAGGATGGTTTTAATGCTGATAAGAACTCTCAAGTACAGCTGACAATGTTGTGCTTTGCCTATGTGCATTGCCTGCCAGCACCTGTGTCCGATCTGACTTAATGCTGTTTGTTTGCACTTACTGACACTGTTTCCTCCTTTCTAGATCCTTGCTTGTGTTGTACTTACTCTCTGATGTACGTCGCTTTGGATAAAAGTGTCTGCTAAATGAATCGTAATTATGTAGAACTGTAAAGATTTATTTTTTCCAAGTAACTGCTGTTTTAAATTAATACAAAAAAAACCACTTGAATTAACATGCTGTTGCTGTTCACCTTTGCTCGTATAAAGTCAGCAAGCTTGCAAGTGACTACATCTCTTGATATTATTTGTTTGGAGTGGAGGTATGCAGAGGTGTGTTGTTGTTTGTCTTACCCAAATGAAAAAAAAACATTAAAATGTTTTAAAAGTGTGTGTGCTGTCCTCACCTCTGGTAAGTAGTGTGGGTTCGCCATCTTAGTGGTCATATAGAACCTGAAGTTTTTGTCATAGTCAATATCTGAATCTCCAAGTCTTATCAGAGTCCGTCCACCAGCTACGAATGTCTGTTTCAGCAGGATGGGCTCCAGAGCTGGATCTAGAGTCTCCTTTAACTATACACACATGGTGCAAGAATGCAGGAATGTGAACATACACAAATAGGATTACACAATAAAGCTTGAATAGTAAGATCAGGGTAAAAATATTTTCCAATTAAAAAACCTTGTTTGTGTCAAAACCTTTTTTCACTGTGTTCCTACCTCCTCTAACAGTACAGGTGTGCCCATTCTTATTGCATTTTCTAGTGTTCGGAGAAAGCTTTGGTCTGTCAGCTTAATCACCTTAAGACCATGCCTGGCCTCTCTGGAACGGATCCATCGGTTTGCCTGTGGGTTATGGACATTTGATAAGGAGCTGGATTATTTATATATCTTGAATACGAGAAAGGGAATAACTGTTAGCACTTGATGTAACAAAGTTAGAATACTTAGCATTCCCTTACTGCCCGCTGTGTAAGGGTACACTGTGGCAAGTGCTTTTCTTACTAATTCATGAAATAAATAATTCCCCAAAACAGAAAATCTACCCATTGCCAACAATATCACCAACTGTCATTAAACTTAAATGGGTGTTATAACCAAATACATTTTTTTTTTTTTTAAAACAACAAAATGATAGCAAAAATAAAAAGAGACTGTAAATATAGCACTTCGGAAGGAAACACATTTTTTTGGTGCTGAAAAAAGAAAAAACAGAAAAACAGGCTTCAGAATCACTTTCTTCTCATTATATAAAATTGGTTATAAATAAATTGATTGATTTAAATATGTGTCATTTTGAAAAGATGGAAAATGATCAGGCTTGTACTGCAGCGAGGGTGTGTTCAATGGTGGCCACTACTTTCTGCCCTCCAGTCCTTTGCGCCAGTCATGTGACTGAAAGCTAAGAAATTGGAGCTCCCCAAGGATGTGAAGCGAAGCCTGTGTTGTTTACAAGGTGTTGTTTTCATGTGATGTGCCTGTCCCATTAGTCGTGCGTGTGTATACGTTAAGTAGTTGGTCAACTCGGCTAACATAAGCGTACAGGCAGCTGTAGCTATAGTGATAAGTAAGTTGACATTTGTTTGTGTGTTTCGCTCAGGAACACAACAGTATTAATGTTTTGGTTTGTGCTTGAGTTTTGATGTAGTGTGGCATGTGTTTTGGCCGTGGTGCTTTGTAAGCACATACTATCTCTGTGCAGTGGCTTGTTTGCTGGCGCCTAGCTGGTTGTAGGTTTGTATTTGGCTTTGTATGGGCTGGTAAGTAACTTTAAGGTATTATGGCAGTAGTTGGTTATCCAAGCTCAGAGGCATTTGTTTTGTGCAGGTCAGCTAGACTGCATTGTTGATGTAATTTGTACTTTCTACTAGACACCCTTACTGTGTTATAATTATTGGTAAATTTCAAACATGGCAGAGTATCAGATAGAGGAATTATTTGCCTATGAGGAGCTCATGCAGAGTATATTGGTCAATTGTTACACTGAGGAGAAAGCAAGGGAAGGCAAGTTGAGTTCAGTTTATTGCCATTTGGAAAACATTTGCAAGAGGTAGACAGTACAAGTGACAGGAACAAGAGATAGACAACAAGAAATAATGAGAAAATAAAACTTGACTTTGAGAGAGCTAAACTTGCTTTGAATCGTAGATTTCAGGAGCAACGACAGTTCTTTGATAAGTGTTTGTCTTTGGTGCCATGGTTTGATGCTGAGAAGGATGAGTCCTTTTTCAAGCTGTTTGAGAAGATAGCTTTGCAGCGGGATTGGCCAAAAGGAGAGGGGGGGGGGGGTCACACACATACATGGCTCCTTAACAGATAAGGCCCAGGAAGAGTATATTGCTCTAGATCTGAGTCGGCTTGATTATTATGATGCTGTGCAACAGCCTGTCTTGAAATCTTGTGAGTTGGTTCCAGAGGCATAAACTCTTTTCACACATACGGAAATCTCCTGAAAAACTCCAGAGATTTGGCTACCTGGAGGGGCAAACAGCCGCATTATTCACGCAGACTTTACACAGAGTTTCTGCGGCCAGACCCCTAGTATTTTTTCCGCAGAAAGTTTGAGTGAGCTGATGTCTGAACTTGGCAGCATACTCTGGAGATTTCAACTCGAGCCAATAGAAAGAGAATGACGTTGAAAACAGTGACTGGCTAAAGTGTCTGCACGCGACCACTACGATCTCCGTGCACGTAATTAAACGTCTGCATTCTGTTTTCTGTTCGTCAGTATGTTGTTCTCCACTCTTTTGAGGATGTTGTCATTCCATTGGATTACACATAGCATTGATATAAAGGCAAATATTCTCATTATAAGGTCGTGTAGCGGACTCTGTTGCTTCGGCCGCTACTTCCGCGTTGTTTGTTTACGTCACGTCTTACCTCAGGAAATCCCCCTGCGCCCCCTCCCCTCTGTCAGGGATAGTCCCCTTGCTGTGAGGAGCATATGTGAACAGCTAGGTCGGGAGAATCTCTGGAGCGGTCCTCCTGCAATTATCTAGATATTTTTCGGAGTGCATATGTGAAAACGGCTATATAGACAGCAAGACAGACAGACTGCAACCACGTAAGACTTATTAAAGAAAGAGTATTCAATATAGTGGTGCAACAAAATGAATCACGTGTTAGGTACAATTAGACGTGGCAGACTTCACAGTTAACTAGACAGAAGTCTAGTCTGTTAACTGAAGCCATTTCCCCCACTCTGAAGAGCAAGATAAATCTGTGTACTCAAGAAAAAAGACATGGGATAAAATTTACCAAGGATTTGAAAAAAGCAAGCTATTGGTGCTATAAGGCAGTGACTATAAATCCATACTGTTGTCTTTCCGGGGAAAAAAAATCAGTCAGTTTACAACTACATGGATATCACATCATGGACATTTAGAAAGAACATTCATACCAAGACCAAAATGATTGATGTGGTGAAGGAGTATAAGGAGAAAGGCTTGACTCAGTTGGACAAGGGTAATAAGATTGCTTTCTCTCTTGTACTATTTACAAGTCCCAAACATGACACCATATGTGAAGCTAATTGATAAACAGATAATTAAAATCCTCCAATAATAAACTCATCAATCATTCTAAAAAAAAATGAATCAAAGCTTGAAATGCCCTTTGGATTGCTGCCTAAATGTTAGCTGTTAGTTCACCTGATCCTGTGGGTCGATCATGAGAGGCCAACGGCGTCCCTCAGTCACCAAGATCCCATTCTCAATAGACACAGTGTCACGTGGCAGACCCTCTGTGTTCCACTCCTGGATGATATATTGTTCACCCAGAATGTTGATCAGGTTGAAGCTGGAACTGATGGGGATGTTCAGTTCCTCACACTGTTTAATCCAGTGGTCAATAAGCTGGGTAAATGGGGCAAAAACATCTATATGAGTACTTTTATTTTTCTCTGTTTTTTTAACATTTTGTTTGAAAGATGATTTGTTTAAAATGTTACAATGTTCAATTCACTTAACAGACGCTTTTATCCAAAGCAACGTACATCAGAGAGTAAATACAACACTAATCCATTCATACACCGCCACTGAAGCAGCGGGAGCAATGCGGGGTTAAGTGTCTTGCCCAAGGACGTACATCGACGAACCCTCAACCTTCCGGTTGAGAGGTGACAACTCTACCAACTGAGCCACAGCCACCACTAAATCTCTTGTCTTTCTGTCCAATTAATATTTTATGATACTTTTTCTTTTCTATCTTATTCTATCTTATGTATAATATGTGGATATATATATGGACAATGCAAGATAATGGTGCATAGTGCACTGTATTGCATCTATGAGCAAATCTAAAGTATGCGCTGTAGTCTATCCTGTGTTACCAAGGTATTTCTAAAGCATTACCCCTATAGTAGAATGTACCTACCAGCTGTCGATAATGGGAAGTGAATGCTCCATAGTAGGCCACACAAGCAGCTGCAATGAAGACATTTCCCCCAACGTTTATAATCTCTTGGTCAAACAAGGCAACACTCTCCTTCCAGCGTATTTGTTCATCCCCTAGAGAAGAAGTAAGCTTCCCTGCCCTGGTCAACCGAATCTTTGTCAAAGCCATAGTGTTAACTTTAGGGAAGAGAACAGGAAGAACACAAAGAAATAGCCAGAAAGGAAAATTAGTCAGGTGATAATGGCAGACTTATTTTATAAAACTGGGTTTAAAAGACACTTTTAATAACTAAGATGGCTAAGAGATTAGCTGGAACTTTCTGGTAGAAATCACTCCATCTTTACGAATTTACAAGAATTTATAAAAAATACGTAGTTTAATTGAATTTCAAACCCAGGTAGAACTCTGAAGTGTTAACAGGTAAATGAAATGCCCCTTACTCAAATCCTCCTTCTCAGTTAAACTGCTGTCAAACTGGTCCTGTAAGTCCTTGATCTGGCTCTCCACCTCCTGAAGCTTTTGTTGCTTCTCTTTCAGGGTAGCCATAGTCATATCCAGTTCTTCCTGCATGTGTTGTAAAACCGGGAAAAGGACAGAGGATAAAGCAATTAGTGAATGATAAAGGTAACGTTTAAATTCTTTATTCTCAATATTTGTTTCAACGTATACGGGCCATCCTGTTTACTAGATCAATTGTAACTGATTGTACTTATTTAGAAAACTGATTTTGGGGGAAAATTATGTTTAAAAAATCCCATTAAAAGGATTTTCAGAATAGATGTACAGTAGATGTTGCAGTTGAGCTCGAGTCTTATTTTTTTTAAAGATTTACTTTTGGGCTTTTTGCCTTAATTGGATAGGATGATGGATAGAGCAGAATCAGCAGAGAGAGCAGTGATGAGAGAGCAGGAAATGACATGCGGGAAAGAAGCCATAGGTCGGGCCTGTACCTATGGCCTGTACCCTGGCCACCTGCTTGGAGGACCAAAGATGGTCATTAAAGCGGCCCCTAACTGCGACCTGATGTGATTAAAACCCATCCCCATTCATTGTGTATTGAAAGCTGAGTGCTCGCTGTTCTGGGTAAGACAGCGACACAGACCAGGCTGGCTGCGCTGTTAACTTGTGTTTCTCTCTTACCATGTTACTTACTGTAAACATGTTTTTCAATGTGAACCTTGAACTGGGGCGGCGCATGCGCAGGGTGTTGTGCGGTGAGACCATAGACTGTAAAAATAAGACTAGCTGCAGGCTGTTGTGTGTGTCCACCGGGAGGTGAATAAAGTTTTGACATCAAATTAACGTTGTGTTTATTACAATTAACAGCTCAACTTTTTCCACATCTTTTCTCCCTCACAAGGTCATAATCATGCATTTACTGAAAAAAACGGTACATTGGTCCGTAAATAAACCTTGTGGAGTGCTCTTTTGATTGAAAGAGTCCTATATTATCATTGTCATAAGAGTGACCAGCCGAGTCGGGCTGCGCAGCTTGCAAGCTAGGAGTCTGTTACTCACAACTTTCTCTGCAGGCTGAGAGCTCAACTACCGTACTGTAGCTAGTAGGAGTGCAAACTCCCGAAAGTGAAAGCAAACGGAACTAAAAGAGCGACACAGTTGTACGGAAACTGCACATTGTAGACATCGCTGAACACAATATAAATTGTCACGCAGGAAAACAGTTAGACTTTTTTTTCTCTATAAGAGATCTTCAAAACAGGGTGCGTCTTATATACCGGTGCGACTTATATTCCGTATTTTACCATTTGTAATTTAATACATGACCAGAAATAATGGAAGGGTTAGAGCTCTGAGACAAAGGAATAACAGTTATATGTCTGCTTTAGGGAATTAAAATATATTCATAGCTTTCATGTGAATAGCTTTACTGAACCTAGCAAACTATTTTTTTATTTTATTATTCTATTATTTTACTATTCTTTTTATCTTTTAGTAATCTGCTTTGATGTAGTGCTATCTTGTAGTCATTCATACTGAAACAATAATGACATGTGACAATAAAAACATGGATACAATAAAAAAAGGCCATACTACGTGGGAGAATGTGTGAAGAATGTCGTGATAGAGACAGATATCACAAAGTAAAAGCTAGTAAGGAATAGGGACACAACACCAGTCCCACAGTTGACTACATTCATCATCTCTGCTGTCTGCCCAAAGCCAAAAACAACACCAAACAGTTCCAACATAAACACAACCGTCAAATGAAAAAATAAACAAGCAGAAATCCAATTACTGCAAACTCTGTCTACTGACAATGTTAGTACACCAGCTGAACAATGGTTTGTACATCTTGGCCATTTTTTTGTCTGCCGTAAAATAGATTTTAACAATCTAGGAGTAATTCAGTAACACTATAAATGTTTCAGCTTTGCATTAAGATTTTTATTTCATATGCTGAATTACCTAAATGAATTTACCATAATATGTCTTCCTTTCGATCAAGAGGATGGTGGATAGCTTACACACAACATACAAAATAATTTTGACATGCCTGCTGGCGAGTAACGATATATTTCCATCATGTTTGTTTATTCATGCTAATTTAGGAGCCAGGTGTAGAGTTTTTAATTTTTAAGTAAACTCAATTTTTAAGTTGTTATGAACAATTTAAAATGCCCTGATTCAGTTTGCCTGCAACAAAACTCTGCCATTGTGCAGCTAAAATGTTGTAACAGTTATTACTGACCTGTGCCATGGCAAGTTTTGCTCTTTTTGGGCCCACTTCTTTGAGGACTTTAGAGTAAAGATCCATGGCTCTGACCCACATGCACATAGACTTGCAGGCTTTGGATACCTTCTCCACCTAAAAGCAGCAACACAATAAGAAATTACAAATAAAATAACAGCACAATTGACCCCTTAATAGTTCTAGACTCTTCATGATGTGCATAACTTGAAAACATGCACTTAAAACCATTGACCACTGTATTCTTTAATAGAGACTAGAAAACACAATTGGTATTACAGGAACTATATATGGCTGGTTGAAGTAATATCGACTGGATTTGTTTGAGTAATGGATTTTCCCAGCACGTACAACAGAATTATCTATCTCTTATTAAGAGTTATCTTTTCTACTCAAACATAAAGGACTGCTTTTTTAACTTTGTAACATTGCAAAACTAAGACATATCTTATCTAAAAAAAAGTTAAAAAATGTTCTTTAAGTTCTTGTATGCTAAATAATTGCAGTTCCTTAATATCAGCCTGGCCAAAGTTTCTAAAGGCTCTTCAGTAAGGCCGAAATGCAGTTGTAAGTACAGTACTAGGAAAGTAAATCATATCCCTTAAATTTCAATAAATTGGATCCCTTTTAAATTAGAATTTACAATTGATAATTTCATCCATAAAGCCGTTACTGTTTAGTCTTGACTTTATTTTTTAAAAGCTAATAACGCCCTATTACCTATACCAGAACATTGCAATCTCTGAGTGCATTTTTTTGGTTCAGTACCTATAATCTCAACATTTAGTATAGTTGACCTCTCCTCTGGATCTACCATACATATTGGTGTGTTACTCAACATACCTTTTCAGGTATGAAATCAGGGTTACTGATGTATTTTTGCAGCTTTAGAAGGATTTGTGGCTTGATATTATCCTTGTCGTAGTCTGTCAGACGCCTGAGGAAATTTGCGTCTCCCAGTACTTGCTTGGCACCTTGCCAGTCCGGTCTGTAAGGACAAAGGGATATTAGTGAGAATTTGTGAAAAAAGATCTTACATAATATCTGATAAAAGCTGAAGAATGCCCATGCATGGCTTTATTAGACTTAAAACATTCCTTTTTGATAAAACTTATAGTTAGGGCTGGCGCAGGTGTAGACCAGCTCCTAGCTATGCTGCTATAGGCTTAGACTACCGGAGGAACTGGCACCTTGAGCTCTTATCTGTCCCTCTCTCTCTCTCTCTCTCTCTCTCTCTCTCTGTGCACAACATCAGATTGGCACAGGCTTGAGAAGGGAATCATAACTGGCTGCACCATCTCAGTCATCCTTTTTGCCCTAGCCATGAACATGACCGTTAAGTCTGAGGAGGTGGAGTGTCCAGGACACCTGGTCAAATTTCTAGCGGGCAGACATCCACCGCATCAGATTTCTGGTCCAAGTGGTCTATGACACCTTACAAAGTCCAGCAAACCTTCACACATGAGGCAAGACTGAGACACCTTCCTGCTCCCTGTGCGCTGGGAGAGGATGATCATTTGGGAGTTGACTGTGCCCTGGGAAGATTACATGGAGGAGGTTTACGAGAGGAAGCTATCCAAATACAGGGAGCTGGTGGAGCAGTGTAGAGAGCAAGGCTGGCTCTTCGTGAGCCGATTGAAGTGGGCTGTCAGGGATTTGCTTGGCGCTCTATCTGCAAAGCTCTGGCAGGCCTTGTTACAGGAACTGCGAAGACTAGAGCCACAGGTTCCATCAATAAAGCTGCAGAGGAAGCTACCCTGTGGCTTTGTATAAAGAGGGCGAGCCCATGGATTGCTGCAGCTGGGATGCAATGAAGGACTTGAACAACCCCGGATGGATCACCTGGGTGAGGGGGTCTAATGTTGAAAGACCCGAAACCACCAATGACCTAAGGAACATCACTGATGATGCATCCTAGCACAATACTGGAGATGTATCTTGCAAACAAACTCTTCCCTTTCAACAGGCTGTTTGCCTTACTGATACAGAGGTGGTTTCAGTTGCTTAACAAGTTTTGGATGTTAGGCAATGAGAAAACAGTTTTATTTACATTAAGAATAGGTGCTTGATTTACATAGAGATGAAAAAAATGAATACTTAGGGAGGCAGTTAGGAAAGGACAGAAGGAGGGAAAGAACAAGAGGGAGAAAACACAATATTAAATACCACCCATAACCTGACATTGTGAAACTATTAACATACATAGAGTCTACATGATTTATGACAACATTTTTTACATCTGCTTGCAATAGTAGAAAGAATACTGACTTGCAGCTAAGCAGGATGCACACAGCCTCCATGACGGTCATGACAAGGTCTGGCGGCTTGGTAAACACCTTGATCTCAGAGATGTCTGCCTTGTCAAGGGAATTCAGAGCCTGATTGGCACCCTGGAGGGCTGGCAGAGCCTCATCTAGGTCTCTCTGAGCGTCATCAGCTATGGCTTGAGTATCTTCAGCCTTGACCTTGGCCAAAGCCTCATCTTCCTTAACTACTTTACGCACCTGTGAAAATTGTATTTTTTGCAAGATACAAATTCAGAAATGAGAAAACTGTATCAAGCCTTATCTTTACATTAGAGAAGACAGTTGCCATATGTTTTCAAATATTATGTTATAATAATTCATTATCCCTCTCACACACACGCAAATACACACACACACCTGGTCAGCGCTCTCCTGGTCTATAGCCAATTTCTCCATAAGGGCATCAACATCAATGGATTTTTGTTTTAGGACTGGCTCCAGAGCAGACAAGTCTACTTTCATTTTGTCCACAAGCTTGTTGGTCTCCAGGAGTTTTGTAAGACCATTCTTAATACGATCCCTGGCCTGCAAATAAATAAACCCACACTCAGACTATATAATGAATATTTCTGTAACATTGCCACATCCCCAAAGAAGATATTACATGAGAAAAAAGTTCAAAGTCACAATAAACCTGTACCTACAGCAACTATCTTCTGCTTTGTCTTCAACAATGTTGAGTCATTAATGTCAGGCCAATTTAATATCAGTATACAGTTAGGGTTGTTTCTCACCGTTTAAATTATACATAAAATGCAATAAACACGGGAATTGTAAGACTTACGAGCACTAAATTTGTTCTTTTCCCTTCTAGCATAGATAGGTAGAGGTTGATGAGCTCCAGGTAAGAGGTAGGCGTAGTATAGTATCTTCGTCTCAGTTCTGAGTAGAAGCGCTCAGCCATGTTGGTGGCACTAGTGTGTATTTCCACACACATGGCTGAGAAGCTCTGTTTTAGCTCATCACTGCCAAACTCCACATTCTGAAAAAATGCTTGAGAAACTGAGAGCAGTGCCTCATGAGGCCACTGAACATCAGGGAGAAAGTGGGATACAGTTTTTAGTGCATAGAAGTTTTGGGGGTTTTCTTTAATTGCACACTTAATTCAAAATAACATGAGGAACAAAAATATTTTATTACGTCACCCCAAAACAAAACTTGAGTAGATAAAGTCAGAAAAACAAGATCCATACCTGCACAAACCAGTCAATGGTGCAGCAGTTGACAATTGAAGGAAACATTCGACAGCGGGACCTGAAAGCATCACCCACAGGACTCATACACAGCACAATGTGCAGGTTTTTCCGTACACGCGAGATGAAATACTGGAACACCTGAAGGCCCCACAAACACACACACAGATTAGTAATTTCTGGGGGTTTGGACTAAGCAGTCAGATCAACTTTATGACACCCTCATGGACACTGACTTAAAATAACTAGTTTTACCCTGACCCAATGGCTATATCTGCACAGAAATGTCAGCAGTATTGATCACATCTGAATGGCTGAAGGAGTAGAAATTAAGCATCTGATACAGAGTGGGTGGAACTTGTTATGGGATGGTCTGATTATTCTAATCAATTTGTAAGCAAGGATGAAGACTGTTATCCTCCTCCATCACTCACCAAGTTAACTACACAGACCATATCCTGCTACAAAAGCGACAAGGGTGAAGTTAAACACTTTGTGGTAGGAACATTTAATTACAAAAGCAGACCTGAAGGTACTAATTGGGTAACACTGTTCAGACTATTACTATAAGAGATATGTTCAACAAGGGTTAAGGCATCAAATGCAAATGACTTTGACAGAAACTAATTGTACAGCAGAAAATACTTGGAGTAATTTACCATGTACACATAAGCCAAATACAGCATCAAATGGGCAAATGTCTTTGAGTTACACACTCATACTGGACTAGACATAACTGTTCAAAACCCCTAGTTCATATTAGACCTAAAAATAAAGATTGCAATGACTCAATGCTGCCCGATATTATTTAAAAAAAAAAGATTTGGCAAAAAAGCCTTTCCGTACCCTAATCTTTTGAGCACTTTACAAGTAAAGTTGAAAAACACTACCATATAAGTTTGGTTAAAATTATCATCACACTAGTGTGTTCTTTTAACTCTTCAAAAAGCCTTATTTCCTGAATTCACAACTGAAGAAATCTTGGTATAATTTTTTATAATATAAAAAGACTACTCAATTTAATCATCAAGTGAATTATTGAGTTTAAGTAAGTGTTTATGGCTGTGTTTACCTCATCTCTGTTCTCTTCACTGATTCCAGCCTCTTTGGCTTTCGGGCGAGTGACAGCAAGTACTTGTTCCAGCTCATCCTTCTCAAAAAGATTAGGCACTTCACCAGAGTTCAGCATGTTGTTAATATCCTCCAAAAACTCTTCTACCACAATCTATGGCAGGAAAGAGAGAGTGGAGAGTTCTGTATACACTTGGGAATCATCATGAACTACAAACAAAACTAAAAATTATGTACATGATTACAAATGTTTATTTGGCTGTCGGTCAGTGGTAGAATCGGTCATCTCTTAATTGAAAGTCAGGGATTTGATTCCTAGCATCTTCAGCAAAATGTCCTTGTCCTTGAGCAAGACACTGAACCCAAAATTGCTGCACAATCAGCATGGTAATGTGTATGGATCGGATTAGTTATTGATGGACACTTTAAATAGCAACTTCTGCAATCAGTGTGTAATTGTGGTGTGAATGGGTAAATGTGACCTGCAGTGTATGAAGTGCTTTTAGTAGTCAGAGGACTGGAAAAGTGCTGTAAAAGTTCATGTCAATTTATCATTTCAAGTCCATTTATTATCTTTAGAAGAGCAAAGTCATCATATCACACCTGATTATCTGTAAATAGGAACACCATATCCTTGCCCTCCACACCAGCCATCTTGTACAGCCTCCTCAAGTCTTCATGGAAGCTATCATAGTTATAGCCTCGGCTCAGTTCAATCTCAAAGCAACAGTACCCACACATATGGGCTGACAACCGAGTGAGTGACTGCTTGCCTGTACCTCCTACCCCCACGAGAAGGGCATTGCCTCTCTCCTGGCGAATCATCCGAGCGATCCTTAAATAAATAAAAATAAACAATGTTTACAGCCTGGTCTTTTGTAAAGGAGAAAGCCGGAAATGCTGTTGTTACAAGATATAGCTCACAAGTTTCACTAACGTGTCATGTACACTCATCGACCACTTTATTAGGTACACCTTGCTGGTACCAGGTTGGACCCCCTTTTCCCTTCAGAAATGCCTTAATTCTTTGTGGCATAGATTCAACAATGTGCTGGAAACATTTCTTTAGAGATTTTGGTCAACATTGACATAATATCATCACACAGTTGCTGCAGATTTGTGGGCTGCACATCCATGAGACGAATCTCCCATTCCACTACATCCCAAAATTGCTCTTTTAGATTGAGATCTGTTGACTGTGGAGGCCATTTGAGTACAGTGAACTCATTGTCATGTTCAATTTTGACAAATTTTAATAATGTATTTCTGATTCTGATTTATGACATGGCGCGTTATCTTGCTGGAAGTAGCCATCTGAAGATGGGTACACTGTTATCATAAAGGGTCTGACATGGTCAGCAACAATGCTCAGGTAGGCTGTGGTGTTTAAATGATGCTCAAATAGTACACAAGGACCTCACCTCGGTTGTAACAAAGGGAATATTTGAGTTACTGTTGCCTTTCTATCACCTCGAACCAGTCTGACCATTCTCTTTAAACTCTTGAGATGGTTGTGCATGAAAATCCAAGTAGATTTGCAGTTGCTGAAATACTCAGACCAGCCCGTCTGGCACCAACAACCATGCTGATTCTGGTGCTCGTTTGAACTTCAAAAAATCGTGTTGACCATGTATACACTACCACTATGTCTACATGCCTAAATGCATTGAGTTGTTGCCATGTGATAGGCTGCATAAATACTTGTAATAACAAGCAGTTGAACAACTGTACCTAATAAAGTGGTCAGTGAGTGTATATTCTCAGAGAAAGTTTTCAAGAGTATTTTGGCAAAGCCTTTTTGCAATTACTAACAGATACTCACTTTTTTTGTTAAAGAATACATTTGTGAGTAAATCATATGTTTTGTTTAAAAATATAAGGTTGGCTTTCACATTATGCCATTTCTAACCCATACTCACTTCTATTGTTAAAGAATATGTTTTTGAGTAAATTAAATGCATTGTTTAAAGATAAAAGATAGGTTTTCCCATAATCATATGAGCAGAAACTGGGTGCACACAAGTAAATTAATTATTTTGAATTCCTCTTTATATTTAGAGTTATGCTATCAAATACTTAACAGTAATTGGTCCACAGAATAGGTCCTTACAAGACAAACAATCCTTGAGCATGTAACAGTATTTATTTGACTATTATATACTATTGTCTGACACTATTTACCAACTATAGCTAAAAAGCATTAGCCACCTATGGTGAAGACATCTGATGGAGTATCTGTCAATTTAGTGTCGCAAGTTTGCATGCATGTACCTGGAGACATGCTCAATGGCATCCTGAAAGAAAACCAGCTTGGTTTCCTTGGAGAAGGTCAAGTTATAATCATCAAGATAGTCCTGGAGCACAGCCTTAATCTTATCAATGTCAGTCAGATCCTCATACAGACGGTCTTCTTTTTCAGCACCAAACTACAGATATTTGTTGTGAAGAGCAATGACAATCATTTTATAACTTTAGACATACAAATCAAATGTTTTATTAATTATTAGCAATTTCCTTGAAAAAAGACAGAACCTGACCTTGATAAAGTCCCCGAATATAATAGGCTGAGTCACAAAGAATGAGGGCTCCAAGTTAAAGCTGAAATATTTGCCTAGCAGAAAGAAGAGAAGGGTCAAAAATGAACTGCTCTTAAACTAGTAAAATGGAACAAAAAAATTAAGTACTTTGGAGTCCAAAATGTACCAGATTTTAAACGTTTGTGGGTTTAGAAGAGTAAGCCACGAGACAGTCTTTCTGACTAGGTTCTTACCAGACATTTCACCGAGGATGGTATTAAAATACATCTTATCTTGATTGTTGATGAGTCGGTCGTGGAAAACCCGCTGACACTCATGGCAGAAGAGACGGAAGATCTGGTTCTTGTCTCCCACTTGACTCGGCTCACACTGCAGTATACCTATATATCAGGAGAGGATTTAGTCATTATATTAACATATAATTGTAAATACATATGCATTACTATTCTATTCAATATCATCCTTAAGGGCTCCAGGTTGCATGAATTTGTTAATTGGTAATCGGCCATCTTGGTGAATATAATATTCAAATGACTGAATTTTATTTGTTTTTAACTAACTGTATTTTATAAATGCCACAGACAACAGTAACATGGGTAATGTGATAAGCAGGATATCAATGCAGCATATGCATTTGGGTAAACCTAAGTTTGACAGTATAAAGTAGGGTTTGGCACTCTTCTGTTGGGTGCTGTACTTAAGACAGACAATTTAGGATCTAAAAGTACTAAACCAAGTGTATATGTCATTTCGCCCAGTCCCTGATTTGCTCAGGGTATAAAAATGGTGAATTGTGGATGTAATTAAGTGCATCGTTGAGCTGCTCAGTTGAAGAACTGTGATATTCAACATAATCAGTCCTCCCCATTTCATTATCATTATAGTTGCTAATGTTAATAGACTGATCAATATTATCACACTTAACTGTTACTGCTAATACTACACTGTACCATTATGACTGGCAATGTAGCTATAAATCTATTTTATTCATTGTTGTTCTGTCTCTCTCTTTCTGCATCTCCCTCTGTCTCCCCTCATCCCCAACACAGTTTCGGCAGAAGGCTGTTCTGCCTTTTAAAGACAGTTTGTCCTTGCTACTGTAACTTTGATAAATGTTGCTTAGTGATGTGCTCATGGTGCTCATTGTGGATTAATGTTGGGTCTTTGTAAATAATATAACAAAGAGTAACAAAGAGTATGGTCTAGACCTGCTCTTTTTGTGACTTGAAAAATCATTCACCATTTCACAAAGGCTGCCAGACTTCTTGTCAGTACTAAACCAATGACAATTTTATTATTTATGTCAATGGCATGGCATTAAGGAGAAGTTTGGGGTTCCATCCTTCGCATCCTTGATGGGGTAAGTGGGGAAGTGAATGCTTGATACAGTCATTGTTAGATAAAGTGCCTAAATCAAGGCAAGGCACTACAAAAAAGTAAAATTATGTTACTTAATTGACCAGGGTACGTTGGATGGAGACGTTGATAGAGACAAATTGATCATGTCTGCAATCATCTAAGGAACTGGTGAGGGTAATGGTAAATGGACTTGAGCTTATATAGTGCTTTTCTAGTCTTCTGACTACTCAAAGCGCTTTTACACTGCATGTCACACCAACCCATTCACACCCATTCACACCCATATGACAGAGGTTGCTATGTAGTATCATCCATCAGAAGTTACTAATCCATTCATACACCGCCACCGAAGCAGCGGGAGCAATTCGGGGTTAAGTGTCTTGGCTAAGGACACCCTAGGGTGAGACACCCTAAAGCAGCCTACTGGAATTCACATTCCCACGCATTCATTAGCTATTAGCAATGCATTCGGAAGCTGTTAAAGGTTCAGTGTCTTGCCAATGGACACTACCAGATGTAGTCTGCCAATCCTACCTCTGAACCACAACTCATCTTTGCAGAGGTGTCAGGGGGAGTTCTGAATGTGTGTGTATGCATATGTATCTACACATACCTCACCTTGGACACATTTGGATAAGTCACGGAGATTGAAGACATAGTGTGACTTAGCTGGAGTGGGCAACAGGTCAACACTCAAACGGTTGTATATCTCCACAGCTGCATCCACAATCTGACCAGCACAGTCCTTTACCTCCTGGGAAAACTCACTAAGAAATCCATTCAAGATGGCCTTAAGAGGGTTGGAAAGCATCATAACAAACATGAAAAAAGGAATAAATTGTTAAGAACAGAGGGCAATTGGTGAAAGGAAGAAACAATAAAACAATGAAACAATAAAAAAGAGAGCAGGAACAAGCAAAGTTTAGAAGCAAATGGTTTGTTATGGGTAAAGTTTTTCAGTGTCTAATTTAATTTGTAATATTCAACAGAGTAAATTAGTAAATCAGATATACAATTTCAGAGTACCAGTAACAACCCAACTATGTAAAACTAGTATGTACAACTAGTACAACTATGGACTAGAGTCAAAGATACTCAATATAATAATTTATTAAATCTGTAACAGAAGAAGAAAAGTCAATGAGGGCAGCAATCCTTGCCGTATTAATGTGCGCTTGTCTGTGCATGTTTGTATTCTCACTTTGAAGATCTGTTTCAGGCTGTGTTCTGAAGGTGTGGGAATACACAGCATGCTAAAATGTCGAACAAATCGTGTGGTAACTGGATTACGTCCCCCTCCTGGAGGAGCACATGCTGCAGCAATGATCATTTCCTGTAGGTCAGAAAAGAAAGGCAGAGTAAATTCAAAGATGATTTGTTACAATGTAAAAGACATGAAGGGTAACAAAGAAGGTCCAACAGGACCAAACCCAAATATAGGAAAATGTTGCAGTCACAAGTAATTGTTCTGTAACAGTCCTAACTGTAAAAGATTTTCAAGTTACATAGCTAATAGACAATCAGCAAATTTACATATCTGATGGGCTGGAACTAGAGATGGATAATTAAATCAAAATGCGTATTATTATTATTATTATTATTATTATTATTAATAATAATAATAATAATAATAATAATAATGCATTTTATCTATAACACACTTTAGATTTTTGGCAAGAAAGATTTAGATGTTTGGCCAAAAATCTCAAAGTGCTACAGAGTTTAAAATATAAATAAATAAATATAAATATAACTTAATGATTCGAACTTAGTTCTAGTGATCCACTCTTTAATTATGAGTTTTTTACAACCAGCATGGGATTTAGTTGTGCCTCTCAATTTTTCTCTCCCTTTAACAAATGCAAAAAAGAAAAAATCTATTAACTCTGAGAATTAAAGCTAGAGTAGGTAAAATTATGTTTTATTAAAATTCTGGTTACATATATTAGCAACATCTTCTTTTTAATTTTTTTCATTGGAATGTTTATGTTGCCTACTGCCACTTTAAGGTAGAATAAATACAATTTTGTTGGTATATTTATGTTTGGGGTCTTGGTTTAATTAAAAGGCAAAATTTAAGAACAGTTGCATCTCTACCAACACCGTTGGTGCCTCAAGGTTTTAGTTAGAGAAATTAAATATTTATATGCTCTGATGTGAAATTATAAAAATTGTGCTTTAGATGAGAGAGATCTTATTTTTAACACAACACATGTAACTTGCATATTGTGTTGCACTACTGCAGAATTGGATTTCAGTTGAATAGATTTTCATGATTTACTCTTTTTCATTAACTTTTGTTTTAGTCGTCTAAATAGGTCTATGTCGGCAGTAGAAAGTCTCAAACATGCTTGTAAGTCCTCATCTCTTCCTGAACGACTAAACACTTTGGTGTTTGAGCCTAGGGCCAACCAATGCCTTGCATTTTCAGTGTTTGTTTGTATTAAAAACTGGGTGCAGCCACAACTTTTTCGGATAAAATCAAGAGCATCATCCATCACCTAGTTGTGGTTTATTCACCAGAAAAAGTAAACTGTTACTATGGCTTACCAATATCATTGACTAGGATGAAAATACCCCAAAAAAGTTAGCAGTAAAGAGGAATTTGATTATGAAGACGAAGAATATTCCAAACCATCTCTGTTAGATTTAGGTAAAAAGAAAAATGAGCTTCTAAAGCCAATTACAATAGATGCCAGCAAAGACAACAAACTGTGACTTCATCTCCATCTTAGTATGCTTTATATAGCTCCCAGATGCTACACATTTATACCTGGATCTTTTTCCAGAAGAATTTTTTTCTGTCATAGAAGCCAGAAAAGTCCTGGAACTGACGCAGGAGTTCTATAGGTGGCTGAGATCCATAACTGTCCAGCTTAGGCATATTAAGATCATCAACAAAGACTACTAACTTTTTGTTACCAGGAGCACCTAAAGTAGAATGTCGGAAAAGTAAAGAGATAAAAACAGAAGGAAAAATGGGTCAAAAGTTGATTTGGTTGATAAATACAATTAAAGAAAGATACTGTATGCATTTAAGACTGACAAAGGAGAAAAGTAAAGACCAGCTAATTGAAACATGCAACAATAGTGTTTTTTTTAGACTTTTGGCGTAATTAACTACAATTACTACCAACCAATTTGGAAAGTTTTTACAAATTATTTCAATGTTTTTTGTTTTTGTTCTATATTGCAATTGATAAATGACTGTTGTAATGACACTGTCAAACATTACCCAGAAGGTTTTTCCTCTTTTTTTCCAGCTTGGACTCAATAATCTCCTGTGTTCGAGCAGAGGAGGTCTGAGCAGAGAAGTTGATGAAGACCGGAAGGTACCCTGCCTTTTCCTGGATACTATTTAGAAGGCCTCGAGCCAGTACAGACTGTGAGGGACAGACGCATAAGCATTTCAACAAAACTTTTGTAGCTTGAAGTGTCATACTTTTTAAAAGCTTCACTTATTCATTCAATACGAAACTTCAAGGATCTTTGGTTTAGCAAAATAAACCAGCACAAAAGATCATAGATTTAGTGTATTTATATTTAGTGTATTTTGTCAATTCTTAAGATTAATTGAATCCTTTCTCAGAATTTGACCCAGAGATTGCTTTTTGTCTATCCAATGCTTCCTTGGTGTCAGAACATAAACTCACCAGAAACGTTTTTCATTTGGCATCAATTGCCAAATATATTGTTAAATCAACAACACATGTTGTCCCTGTGTAAGGGCACAAAGATGTGAAGTACAAAGATTTTAAGATTCTTATCTAAAACATAAACAATGAGTGTCTGTGGTCCTCTGCATGCAACAAGTGAATGCTGACTTTGGGAAGTGTTTTTCAAGTAGCAGTGAATGAAACTAAAACAAATAACATAAGAGAAAAAATAAATAAAATGTAAACATACTTTTCTGTAAACAGATTTTTCTTTTTAAACCTTCGAATGAGATTATGTTACAACCTTTCCATTGGTTCTTGTTTTTTCTCACTTAATGTTGGCAAAGTTGCATAAAAAGAACCAATACTCAAGCAGAAAAGATATACAGGTCCTGGCTTACCAGGTTCAAAAAGTAACCCAGAGATTTACGTAAATTCTGCAAAAGCTCATCAGCTGTGCTGAAGGGCTCATGATTGTTTCTCTCTCCACCAGAATACAACCCTTTTGTGTATTCTTGGGTACATAAGCGGGCAAATAAAATTCAGCAGAGTCTACTGCCCAGGTTTCCTTGCTAAATTATTGGTCTGATAAATGTGGTACAAGACAGTATGTCATAAGTAAGACATGTGTTGGAACAGTTTGAAATAAATAAATAACTTCTCACCTTCCCCACTCCAGTTTCACCTGTGAAGAGTACAGAACGTTGCACAGACAACAGTTTCTCCATCAGGTAGCCGTAGCGAACAGTGTCTGTGGTCGGGACCAGCATCTCAAAAAAGGGCTGCTCCTTGTTGTATTTAAATGAAGGGATGACCTTCTCCCATGACTCCAGCCACTTGTGATTAAAGTTCATGTACACACCCCACAAGGTTCCACACTTAGGCAGCTAGACAGCACATGTGAATGAAATTAATTTACCCAAATAAATGCATTAAAAAACACAATAGTGTCAAGAATTTACAAAAATACATGAATATGCCTTCTTTATTCTGTGTGTGATTTGGCTTCTATGTAAATTGTCCATCAATATTACAAGCATGCTTCATACGCCACTGACGAAGGAGTTTCAGGGACACATCGTCATGTGGCTGAAGGAGCTGGGGATCGAGTTCCCCATCATAAGAGACGAACAACTTTACCACTGATCCAAAGCCTTCCCAATGCCCATGCCTAAAGGAAACTCATTCTTGATTTTAGTTTCTTATTTTTACTAGTTTGGCGTTTTCCTTGTGGCACTTGAATTAGTATTTGCTCACAATATTGTTGAGGTGTATGCAAAAACATTTTCATGCTAACAGCTCTCTAACTAAGATTCCAATTCATATAACTGAACAAAACAAAAACATCAGCTCAAGTTGATCATGTTTAAATCAAATTCTGCAGTCTTCATATGCTTTTACGTGTTTTCACTACACCCTCTGGTAAGGGAGAAATTTTCCAGCCTGAATGTGTTCTGCCCCTGTCAGTAAGACATTTCATTATCAATCTACTGCTGGTACCAGCCTAAACAATGAGCTTTCTATTTTCCAGAAGGCCAAAAGACATCCAGTAATGTCAGCCTCCACTGTTTTCATCTATTTTTCTCTCAATCCATCAATCAGTCATTATTTGTTTAGTGCAAATTCATGTTATCTTGAGATGTTTTACAAAAAGCAGATGAAAGAACTTACTCTTTGTTATTTTAAATTACAAAAGAGCAGGCAAAATACCTTCATTATTTGTATGTGGCACCTTAATCTTAAAAAGTAAAAACTGTTATTCTTGTAACGGTTAATTCATAATTGTCAAGTGTGGGCAAGGTAGGATAATGCTATGCAATGGACTTTTACTCCCTCTACACAAAGCTTATTATTTATATGATAAACACCTAAAATAATAATAATAATATTTTAACACCAGTACAGAAAAATGAACCACATGGATGCTTGTTTGTAGCACTTCATTTGACAAGAGTGACTGATATCATTTTAAAAATATATATATTATAATTTTAGCTATGGTCCAGTAAAAAACATCATGTTACAATATTACTATGATGTTCTATATATTAGCTCACTTTCAGGCTTTTTCACATATTTTATTTTAATAGCATCAAATGTGTTGGAAATATATTTTCTACGCCAATCAGAAATGAGGCATTAAAGAAGCCTAGAGGTAAAGCACAGTTTGCCACCAAAGGTGTCAAAAACACAAACGCTATACAATTGCCAGCAAAATGCACAAACCATTAGGTATTAGGTATTAGGTATTATTCAATTGTCCCCATTAGGTATTAGTGTGGGTGTGTATGGTGAGTGTGTGTGTACAGGTGTACATACCTTAGCATTGCTGTTATCTTCAAACTGCTCCCTGACAAATGTGTCAAAACTATCCCAGTGAGAACAGGTCAGGTTGCCGCCTACTGCCCACAGGTAGCAAAATATGAAAGTCTGGCATAATACACTATTGAGTTGTTTGGAATCCTAAAACCAACACACAGACATCAAGCAGGGAATTACTCAGTAAGTAAGGGAATGGTTCAAGTATACACTAACCCAAATTATGCTATTGTCACTTTATGTAGTCGTAGAGTCTTATCATCCATTGGTTGTATTTATGTCTTCTGTGGCTTAAACATAGATGCTTCTTTGTCATTGGATCTTTCCCACAAAAACAGTGCTGAGATATTCTATAAAAATGTCCTGAGACTAAAGCAACAGTAAAACCTGTTGACCTCAAAAATGTACCATTTTGAGGTCTGGCCCTCCATTTCCCAGCAGCAGTGCCTCCAGCAGGGAGCACAGAGTGGTGACTTTACTGATGTCCACCTGGCGAATGGCCTGGGTACAATGCTTTAGCACAAACTGAAGACCCTTCTCCACATACTGCTTAAACAGCTCCAGTAGGTATATTTGAACTGCATCTGGGAGCTTGAGAGCAGGGATAGAGATAGTCATAGTGAAAAGGTTTCAGATAGAAGAGGGTAAAAAAAATGCAGCTGCATAATCAAAAAAGCAATTTAATTACTTTTCCTTCAAGTTACTAAGACAGAGTTAATAAGTCTAGGAAAATGTTCAGGGTTTCCTTCAGTTTAATGCAGACCCTGGACTGTAACCTCAGACCAGGCCAAGAGTGAGGGACTCATATAATGCATATTTTCACACTGGAAAAACTGAGGATTAATCATTTTCATGCTAAGAGCTGAGTAAATAGGCACTTTTCAAGAATATGTCTGCAAAAACTTGAGCTGCATCCAGCTTCGCTTAGCATAAAGCCAATGTATATGGGAAAAAAATGGAAGCTTATTACCTTTGTTTACCAAACTGCCAGAATCTATTCATTAATATGCCAAGCTTAGTGAAGTTAAGCTATTTAGCCAAGAGGATAGTGTTAAAAAAAAGAAGGCTTACCCTGCCCCATAGAGTTGCATAGAGACAGACTGCTTCAGTAAACGTTGCTCAGAGTAAATCATTATATACTTATTAAAAATCTTATAACTCTGACTCCCAAAACGCCACGGTTTTGTAAAAAAATAAAAGTGTCATAAAACAGATAAGTTCAATGCAAAACTCAAACTAGTAAAATAAATGAACACAATAAAATGTATAAAAGCAGAAACATTTTAGACAAAGTAAGCCTTTTTTTAAATGATAGATTACATAAATCTATATAAAAAAATTGACAACATAAAAGCGAAGGGATTACCCATTCTAACTGCAGTTTTCAGTAACTTGTAATGGCTCAGGTCTAATGATGCAAGCTATAAACTTTAATGTTGATGTGCTGTCATTAAGATAAAAATTTACATTCAGTAATGCTTGTGCTAAAGTTCCCCTGCTTCTTATATTAGATGTCAGTAAAAAATAAAAGATAGGTGAGAGCAGGGGTTCCCAAACTTTTCATCCCGAGACCCCCAAAATAACGATGCGAGACCGGGGACCCCCTCCGTCGATGGAAGTGGTTAAAGCATAACGTTGCACACAGCAGCACGCACTAATGGGCCTATCCAAACACTGACATTAGAACAACATTAAAAAATACAGCAGCCTTAAAATAATTAAACAACATTTTTGTATGTAATTTCACAATAATGGGTAAAATATGTAATTTCAAGTAATTTCCAGTTTGTATTTGTTTTTCGAAGGCATCTCCCGACCCCCACTTTCAGAACCACTGGGTTAGAGCATTTGTTGTTAAAATGGTGCCTACAGCTTGGATATTTAACAATTTGAAAATAGAAAGCCTTCTGGAGACTTGCGCTATATACTATACTGCATGTACTAACACTAACCAGTGGGACAACATGACAGCTACGGAAGCACTTAAGCAAACATGCTTCAGAGGGCATATTTTACAACAATAAAAATGCATATACCCTCTCTGTAATTTCAAACATGGCACTTGAAATCTGGGAACAACAGAGATTAAGACCTTTGCTCCAAGACCACTGATCCATGTCAGGACGAATGGCATCCACTTGAGCTCATCTGGATCAATATATACCATCCCACAACGACTGACTGTGGCTGGAGATGCAACAGCCAAGTCCTGGACCTGAAAAACACAGGATTATATGATGGTCTCAGAGCACAAAATGCTTAAAAACCATTATCATTAAACCATATTCATTAAAGTAGAGAATATGATACTTAGTTTAAGACCTGGACTTATGCTAATCACTGTTAATATGAATTAGGAAAGTGACAAATGTGACTTAATTAAAGGAGCCATATGTAACTTGGTTAACTTATTGTTTAAAATGGATACTGCCGTCCAGATGCAAATCATTGGAGAGAATTGTCCTGTCCACTCCTCCCTAGAGTCGATACACATTTGGGTTATCATGTCGTGCACATGGAAGCTTTAGTGTTTAGCTAGCTCTGCATCTCTATTGAAAACTTTCTGCATACTAACCTCTCTCCATTTTTCAGAAGCATCTACAAATGTATACTAGTTTTACCACGTGTCTACATTGTGAGGCTTATTAGAAAAATGTAGAGGCTCTAGGTCGGGTAGAATCAGTTATAGCTGAACCAGTTCGCTTGCCCTCTTTCATTGCTGAAAAAACCTGTTGGTTTGCTATTTGCCTGGCAAACTGAGGGGCACCCAAAACAGCTGTGTAGGGGTGACCTAAAAACAGCTACCTTCTCTGGTCAAAACAAGTACAGACAATTCCGGACTGGAATCGAAACTTAGAAGGAGGACATACTGGCTGCTGCACTGTTGTCAGAGAATCCAGCACTTCAACATAGCATGTCTGATGATACAGTAAGGTCATTTTATGATTCCATTCAGTACATATCTTACATATTGCTCCTTTAAGCTCTAACCTCAAACACCATATGTATGGATGGAGTAAGTTTGATGCGCTCGCTGTTTGCCAGACAGAGCATCTTGTTGTCATCCAGCACGGTGTTCATGTTCTCAATCCACAAGGCGTCAACTGGCCCGTCGCAGATCACCCACTTGTGGTCATCACTGGTGTCGTTGACTGCATCACGGACACTTAGTGCCATTAGACCATCCAGCCACTCCAGTGTTAATGGATTCACCTGATGTGTTGAGGTGGAAAATAAATTAAAATATAGAGGAAAGGAGAGAGGCAGTTGTGTAACATGTCCTTGACTGCAATACCTCTCCATAGAGCTCTCCCATAGTAACAGATTTGGGGTTGAGAACATAAGTCTTGACAAGCTGATAGAAGGGGTTGCTATCATTGTATCCTTTACGGTAGAGGGTTTCCAGCGTGTCGGCCAAGATGGTGTAGACAGTGGTCTTACCTCCACCAGTTGGTCCTACCAACATTACACCATGGCGCACTATCATGGTCTCATACAACTGGATCACCTGGTTGTATAATAGCAGAAAGAGAGAACAAGGCAATGACTGGTAATATGTGAAATTAATTGTCAGAATGATTATATAAACATGCAGATTTTGAGTTAGCCTTTAGATGAAGAAATGTGTTTGTTAATTTTGAAATGTATTAGTGATCTGTTTAACAGTTATCATTAGAAACAGAAGAAAATAGGCTTTTGGATGAGTATTACAGACAAGGCAGTGAACTTTAAAATTACAGAGAAATGGACAAATACATTCACTGGGAGGTTTATTGTGAGAAAATATAATATATCTTAAAATGTATGAATTACACTGAAATTGTTTTACATAGGTAAAATGTATTCATAAGGACATATTGTTATACTTATACTAATACTCTTTCCCCCCTCTTACCTTCTTGGTCATGCTAGGCAGTGGCTGCAGGTTTCGCTTAACCAGAGACTCCAGGATGGTTGAATGTAGGACACCATAGTCATGTTCAGGGATACAAACACCAGGAAAGAGGTCTGATAGTATTCCACTAGAGGGGTTCATACACACATAAAGTTCATACACAATAAAAAAAATGATCATTTAAATATGAAACAACCGTTTTTGTTTTTTTTACATTTTACATTTTGTTTGCATTTCAGTTTGTTTGCATTTGGATCACCATAATTAAGATGCACTTTCTAATCAAACTTACCCAAAAAGCACAGCATCATTAACAAGGAACTTAGGCAGGTTTGAATCCCTTAGTGCTCTTATAAGAACCACTGTCTCATCAAGGAGGGGGTTATCTCTCTTCAGAGACCTGAGATAACATAGAACAAGAACTTACTCAGAGGAGTAATATGTAGTCAAAGGCAACCAATAAATCACCTGCCAGATTCAACAGTAACCTGATCTTCACCTAATCACCATCAGATAAATGCATCACTTTGATTACATCTTTACACACGAGGTATGATATTATACTATGTTAAGCAATTTCAAACAGATGGCAACTGGGGTTTGAATGAAGAAGTGCTTCTTTTCAATTGTCAGTAATGATCACAGCAAGGAAGATTTGGTGTTTTTCAACAGTTTACCCCTTTATCTATTTAATCACATGTATACAATTTCATTTGTTACAATGATAATTGTGCGCTAAATGTAAAAATATATGGTAACATCTAATCAATCAAATCCTATTCTATTCATGTTTGCAGCACAAATTGGATATATATGTACTGTCAGCAAGGGCATGTATTTGTGTATTGTGAGTGTGTGTCAGTCACAATGGTTCATCTGGCCCCTTTAAAGGTTTTATACGCGATTTTTTTTTTTGATCCAGCAGATGTCGCCCTTGAGCACCAGCATGAACCCAAAACAACTCGTGGTGCATTGTTGTGTTAGCATGCTAATGCTGGTGATCTTTATTATGCTTGTATCTTCACACTGCATGTCAATTTACCCGAAATGAGCGTGATCTAGAAACACAGTTAAGCAGTGACTCAGGGGGGAGGAGTCAGCAAACTGAAAATATGACTCGGAAAACTCGGAAAACATCACAGACAGTGGAACTCGGGTGTTACACCCATTGTAGACAGTCATTACTCACAGAGTTATTTTCAGAGGATATACTTGATTTCTATTATATTTAAGTGTGAAAAATCGCATATAAAGCCTTTAAAGGATCAATATGGAACTTGGACATGCATTGTTTAAAATGGATACTGCAGTCCAAATTCAAAACATTGGAGATAGCTCCGCCCCCTCCTCCCTACAATCAATATGCTCAAGGTTGCCATGTTGCTGACACGGAAGTTTCTGTGTTTAATAAGCTCTGTATCAGTCTAGAAACCTTTTCTGCTTTCTAATCTCTAATCTCTCTTCATTTTTAAAAGCATATTCAATATTTATCCTAATTCTAACCATGTGTACTGGTCGTTATTAGAAAAACACTTAGGCTTTTTGGCTCAGGTAGAATCAGTAATATCTGAACCGGTTCGCTGCAACACCTGTTAGTTTGCCGTTTGCCAGGCAAACCAAGGGGTGAGGGGCAATACGGACATGTGGGAGGTGCTGCCTACTTCTCTGATAAAAGAAAAAAAAAAAAACATTCCACAATGGGATCAAAACTTAGAAGGAGGATGTACTGGCTGCTGCGTTGTTGACAGAGAAGCCAGCACAACATAGCCTGCTTCCTTAATGTCTGATGTTTTGGTGAAGTCATTTCATGATTTAATTCAGACGATATCTTACATATTGGATATCTTACAGATGTACGAGAGTGAGGAACTGACCCTGCCATGACCAGGACAGACTTGACAGCTCTCATGCCAAAGTCATAGTGGTCCTGCTGGGACAGCTGCTCAGAGCAAAGCTTATACATCTGGGTCATTTTCCTTGCTAGGGTTCTACTTGACTCAAACCCTTCTGAGTACAAAATCACCTGAGGGGAGAGAAGGAACAAAGGATTACACCCTATGATGTAGAAAAAAAATCACAAAAAAGCATATAGAAAGAGTCCGTTACCTCAGCAATGAGTGCGTAGTTTGGCACCATCATGGCTACAGGTCTAAAGAGAGCTTTAAGGTTGTCAGGTAGCTCTGTTCTTCCAGCATAGCCAGGGTTCATGGTAATGAATGCAGCACAGGTCATCACCAACTTGATCTCCTGGCCCTCAAATCGAAACCTTGTCATCTGCATAGCACAGACTTGGGCTTAGATGAGCTTGTTTATGAGTGTTATGTAAAAAAACAAAACAAGGGCTATCAATCAAACAATAAAAATTAAATCGCGATTATTCGGAAATTTCAATCGTTAATAGCATGTTTGAAATACCTTTATTTCGCATTTGAAAATAGAAATGTCTAGGCTTTTATTTGAATTTTTATTATGTCTTCAGCTGAGACTACTTTACTTGCGGATTCAATTAACCCTGCTTTTAGAAAGAAACTCTTTACGTATCAATAAATAAATTAAAACAGCTAGGAACGGTAAAAAAGTAAAATTTATGATGTCACAAGGTATTACTTTAATCATTTTTTTTTGTTAAATGAGAGGTTCAAAGATGCAGCAGTATCATTTTGTATTCATTAAAGCTAGCTGGAAAGTAAAATTCCCATGAATAGCCTATGATGCTGCTAAAAACAAGCACACCAAACTTGTGAATCTCACACTGACTGTAACATCCTGCACTTCAGAAAGGTCATTTTCTGGCTTGCGGTGCCTGAAAAACTATCTTCGATGCACAATGGGGCAAGCACGACTGAATCTGTTGCTATACTGAATTGTCAAAAGAGTTTGACACAAAATAGTTACTTGGATATAATTGCAGACCAATTCATTAAGGGGCAACACTTCTGCTGATCAGGAATTAATAGCATTGGTGAGTGATAATAGTTAATAGTGTGCCTCTGACCTTTACGGTTATTGTTCTAATGGATTTAAACTGTCGTTCTTTGTAATATAGTTGGTGTCTGATTTGTATCCTCAGGTGAGCCTTTTTTTCTGATTAAGAGCTTCATAGTGATCATTGGCATTAGAATATCAGGTAGTTAGTGAATAATGAACAGATGGATGGTAGATTGAACTATAAGCCCAAAAGGTAGTTGTTGTTGTTGTTTTTTTTATTTATTTATCTATTTTTGTTCGGGACAAAAGGCTGTCTTATTGTTATATAGTACTATATAACATGCTTATGAATCTAGACGTAATTCTTTTTTTCTCATGTTGTGTCATTTTATTTATCTTGTGTATTTTATGTATTGGCTGTAAATATCTTACACTACCTGCTAACATTGTATAAAAAGGATATTGTGAAATGTCTATAGTGAACAGGGGTGTTTATGTGTGTGTACATGTGTGTACCTTAGCAGCTTTGGCGTTTTTTATGGTTATGAGCTGCTGAGCGATGACAGACAACACTTCAATGTCGATTCTGTTAAATTCATCAAAACAACACCAAGCACCTGACTGAGCAAGCCCACTGAAGAAGCGCCCCATCATCTAGAAATAAAGGTTAATTCTGATTAAATAAATTACATCAATACAAAATTATGAAACCATACAACATAATTATAATAACAATAATAATAATAATAATAACTTGGTCTCAGTAGTGTTTAATAAAGTGGGCATATTGAGACAATCTGAGACTTTCACTGTAACCAAAAAAAAAAACATGTAATCTTGGCCCAACTTGGCAATGACAAACTTCTCAACCTGCCTTAGTTGTTGTAGGGAGATATAAAGTATAGTAAGGAGACTACCGTATGTAGTGAGAACAGCCTGGTTTGTGGGAGAATTACAAACCTCACAAAAACTGCAAATACTACTTTTAACATCAATAGAAAGGTGGATTTTAAATCAAACTACTGGTGATTGTTCTTTGCTGACAGTCCCTTATCTTTCACGTTAAAAAAATTAAAAGGTTATAGTTAAGGTTACAGAACACTCGCGCAGAAGAGCTCAAAAGGCGCTGAAGGCAGCGCTTTTTTCTGAAAAAATAAGTCAAATATGAACACAGCCTAAGCAGGCACTAAGAATTAAAGCCGCTAACTGCTTACTCCTACGTTTTCCTGACACCAGTATGAGCTTTCAGCCACCAAGCAGCTGTAACTGCAGACTACCCACCTACTATGACGTCAAGTGCATAACCTCTATGGATTTATGTGCTTCGTGCAGAGTGAAAGGCGTAAGTTATAGAAAAATGTTTCAAGAACACAGAGGAGTGGATCACGTCTGGTTTGAGTCATTTAGAAGCTGACATATATACTTTTGTATTTTCAACTGTTTTTTACAAGTGTTCTGCACTGTCTTTGTGTACTTAAACTTGCACATTCTAGAGTTTAGCAATATTGCTATCTTAAACCCTTTTCACACATACGAAAATCTCCTGAAAAACTCCGGAGATTAGGCTAACCGGAGGGGCTTTAGGGTATATGTGAACGCAATCAGCCAAATTTTTCGCGCAGACTTGACCCGGAGTTTCTCCGGCCATACCCCTAGTAATTTGTCCGCAGAAAGTCTGGGTGAGCTGATGTCTGAACGCAGCAGCATATACTCCAGAGAATTCGCCTTGAGCCAATAGAAGGAGAATGACGTTTATACACAGTAACTGCTGCACGGTGCATAAAGTATCTGAACGCGACCGCTACGATCTCTGTGCACGTAATTAAACGGCTGCATTCTGTTTTCTGTTCGTCAGTATGTTGTTATCCGCTCTTTTGTGGATGTTGTCATTCCATTTGATTACACATAGCATTGATATAAAGGCAATGTGAACGGCTAGGTCGGGAGAATCTCCGGAGCAGTCCTCCTGTAATTATCTAGATATTATCCGGAGTGCATATGTGAAAACGGCTCAAGTCGTTAAAGACAAGTGGGACAGCATGAGAATAAATGGGTCATTAAAGAGAACATGCTCTATCAGGTGTGGGTTATTAATGATTACAGCTTGTTCTTGCTTACCTTGTAGTCAAGTCCATCAGAGCAGTTGAAGACCACACACTGTATTGCCAGGGCTTTAGCAAGGTCCTTGGTAGTCTCAGTTTTGCCTGTTCCAGCTGGCCCAGCTGGAGCACCTCCCAGGTCTAACTGGAGAGCCCCCATCAGACATAAATAGCAACGGTCCTGCATATCAGAAAAGGAAAGAGATGTGGAACACTTTGAGCAATTGAGATCATTTGAGTAAAACAAAATATTTACAATTGACAAATTAACAAAAACTATACTACATCCCAAAATATGCCAAATTTTCAGTTCTAGCCTTTGCATGACAGACATTTTATGGTGCACTATAAGCTCCCTAAAGAGATTTAGTAGCTTGTTTAAGAAGTATGTATTTTTCTATACAGGTCTATGTGGATTAAAATCTGTTGAAGCCATGCCACTTGATGAAGATTGAATATGTTTTGCATTTGGTCTTAATGCAGCCGAATTCAACATAATGTACTAAAAATGATTGTGTTCAACATAGGTTTCATTAAGTTTTGGGACAGGTTTATTCATATAATTTATGTACTGGTCATAGATGTTGGTCTGAGTATCAGCAAGTGTTTATATGTTACCGTAAGGGGTGTGATAACCAGTCTAGGACAGGCACCCAGGTATTCATAGCCATAAATGTAAGTAGACAAAGCCATTGTGGCAATACAGTTGTCCAGGTCCATGTCCCAGTAGTAGCGCAGCTGTCTCTGCCATTCAAAATTAGACCTTGTGTCCACCTGAAAAAGAGGGCTGAAGTTAGTCTTAGAATTTGAGTTGTCACAAGTATTTTTGATACCTGAAAAATCTCTGTCAATAGATGAGCCTATAATTTCAAGCCAATGTTACTTCCTGGTGTGAATATGTGTTTCCTACATTGTAGTTACCTTCTGGAAAACTAGATCTGTGACAATGTCTCTGGCATGGACGTCAATGGTGATGAGGGCAGTGATGATACTACGATGCAAAGTAGGCAGCTCTCCTCGAACCAGTGCTGCCAGGGCATTCAGCCTCTGAATACACCCAAACAATTGCACATGCATAGTAACGCACACAACCACACAAAATGAATGGGTAGTAAAGTTAAGGTTAGAAAAGCAGTAATTCTCAGGGAAACATAAGTTAGCTTTGATTTTACCTTTTTTATCTTCAATAGACTAACTATCTGCATTTCTCACAAGCCAATTAGGAAAAAGGCAAGTACTTAACTTATAGAGGTAATAAATATAGTGTTTACTTCAAAGTTAGCAAGTTCAAATTTCTCCAGGGCAGCAAAGTGGTCATGGTCTCCCTCCAGGCAGGAATCCATATCCCTGCACCACATCATCTGGGAGATGGTAAGCACCACCTGTTGAAAACAAAGACAAACTAAAGAATATATTCCTGTAAAATAATATTGGTTAAAATTAAATTTATTGCAAAATATATAATATAATAAAATATAATATATTTAGTGTGAAATATTATCAAACAATAGTACACAAGTCTGTTACTTAAAAATCTAAAAAGTGTTTGATTTTAAAGTAACATAATTTGTGTATTTATGTATGCCTCTATGTTTATACCTGTGATGGATGCCCAGCCACTACCCATTCCTCTCTGGACTTCACCTGGTAGTCTGCAATGGCAGCCTTGCTGAGGCGCTGCAGTGAGGAGTACATTGCCTCCTCCACCTTGCAAAGCCATTCTTCTACATTGCCCGTGGCCTTCAGGCCTTTGGTCAAACCAACCTACACTTACACACAGAATGACATATTCAAGTATACTTAAGGTTGTGGTTGTATGATTGTTTTCTGGACATACTGTCCTTGATTTGCCTTTTGTGTCCAAAAAAGATAAGCGTGAAAAACCTGTGGTTATTATTGGCAAGGCCAATTTGTGATAGAGGGCGTGATTGAGAAATCAATGCAAACAAAGAATCCGCTGCACTCTAATATTGTTTATCATCTTTGATGCAGAATTTGAGCTACCAAATCCAATTGTGCTGTTTTGTATTTTACAAAATGTCCTAATACTTCAACTTGGGACCAATGGATCCTATACTAGGTAAAGATCAATAAAGAATTAGTAGCCACACAATGCCTCTAATGCAGAAGGGGGCCAGTAAGCTCAATCAGATGTATCAGTTATCCAATTTTATTATGTTTGTAAAAAACCTAACAACTTCGTTGTTCTTAAAACTACCCAATGTAAAGTATTATTTTTTTCCCTGAATTTCATTTTTTTCATAATTTAAGAACCTGTTTACTGGTAATTCTTAGCAATTAATGGCTGCTAAGAGAGAGAACAGTGGTGTTATTCAAGAAGCGTGTCAAGTTTAACTGCTTAAACTAAAGTAAGGAGATAGAACAGATAAAACAGAAGGGACTTCACACAAAACTGACCTTCTCCCCCTCAGGGGAAATCATGTTTAGGATGTCTTTGCTATAGACTGTCTGCTGTTCACCAGCTTCCAGCAAAGTTTCTGGAGCACCAGAAGCATGTTCAGGCAGCAGAGCAAACTCAAGCCGTATAATGGCATCAAAACACTTCCTGAGATGGGGCTGCACAGCCTGGGGGTTTCTTGTCTGGGCCAAAATTTTTAGCAGCTCATCATTAGATAAGAAGTAGAACCTAAAAGAGAATATATCAGAGTACTTAACACAAAAAAAATCTAAATTGTTGATTTTAGTAACAACTGTCAAATCTGTTGTTCTAAATTGTAACAAACCAAACATGCTTATACCTGGGGAAGACAACCCTTTTTGACTCAAGGTATTCTTCCAGACATTTCTGTATCTCATCCAAAAGAGTATTGTTGTGCTGAAATGTTTCCAACAGATCTGTGAAGGGTAAAACAACATGTGTAAATGTTTAGATACTTCCTTGCATATGTTTTCCATAAATTCTGTGTAGCTACTTACCGGGCTGTGTGGCTGCTTTAAGTGCATTGGGCATCTTATGAGCCTTTGCCATGATCTCTTTCCAGGACTTGTCCACCATAAGAAACATCTTAGACTCAGCAGGCAGTTGTCTCTTAATGTCTGGAGCCAAGAAGATACTCTCTAGGTATAGCCAGTTCCTTTGGCACAAAAGCCACTCATCCTGCAAACGAGGGTAGAAAGGGGAATAGATGGACAGAAGGCAGAATCTTGCTAGTTCACGGGCTACTCAAAGCAATTATACACTAAATGTCACATTCACCCATTCATACACTGATGGCATAAGAAGTTGTTTAAAGGGCCCATCAGTAACTAATCCCATTGCTATGCATTCACACACAACTGGCTATCTCACTCTGTCATGATTTGGCCTGTTGAGTGTTGTTTTTCAGAGTTTAATGTATCTTGTTTTAGTTCTCATTCTTCCCTGGTGTTTCCCTTGTGTGTTTTCTAGTTTAGTCTTTAGTGTTTCGTGTCTTATTTTGTAACTTTGTATCCCAGTGTTTCTTTATGTTCTAGTGTGTGTTGTTACATTCTCCAGTTCTCTGTCTTCAGTGTTTCCTGATTTATTTCATAGTTGTCCTCAGTGTTGTCTTGTGTTTTCTTCCTCTGTGTGTTTCCCTTCTGTCTTGATTGCCCTGCTTGTCCTCACCTGTGTCTTGTTGGTCTTACCTGTGTTTGATTACCCCTGTCTATTTAGTCTCAGGGTGCGTTCGAATTGTCATTTTTGCTAAAGAAAGTTCCTAACTGAGTGAAATGACTCAGAAGCATTTAAGCAGCGGCCATGATAAGAGCCATTCGAATTCTCTAAAAGCTAAGGAAAGGTGTGTCAATGCTTCCTTTATAACCTCCTTTAGCTTAGGATAGCACTGGACCATCCTTTACCAAAGGAGATGAGATATGACGCTCCACAATTCCTTGCGGCCGCAACATTTAAAGCAAGTCGCGCATCCGACCGTTCATGAACATTAACGATGATCGTAAAGAGACAGAACTCATGTAAGGGATAAAAGATAACAGAGACATTTTTAGCCAGATTATGTTTAATTCAACATATTGCATTCACTTAAGAATGCTTTGTGCAGTTGTACATTTGTATGTTTGAAACATTATGTATGTCTTGCATAAATGTAACAATTAGCTAATTTCATACAATCATACTTATTTTGATGTTGATTTATGAGTGGACAGGAAGGTGATGGTTTCACTTTTGTTACTCGTAGCCTGGTAATCTATATTGCTTTTATTTCAATCCCAACCTTGTGGTAATTAGGATTATTTCACCGGTAAAAAGGCACGGGGGTCCATTTTCGGAACATTGTAGTTTCACCACGGCGGACCCACGTCATTAACCTCCGCCGGCCTGTCGCATTTAATGACGTCACCGAGTGGAAAATGCGGTCAGATTGTCAGAGCAACGAGATCGCCTTTCCCTAAATCCTTTATGAATTCTCCTAACATCTTTGCTTAACCTCAAGACGTTTTCCCCGGGGTTAAGGTAAAGTGGATAGTGAAAGGAGATAGGAGGGACAATTCAGTGTTCGCACCCTCAGTGTTCCTCCCCTCATGTTGTCAGATCATCGTTGTAAGTTGAGTGTTGTATGTCAGATTTTTTAGTGTTTCCAGTGTTTCCTTGTTACTCCTTGTTTTCCCTTTTTGGATGTTGCCTCTAGCCTTTTTGTTAAAATAAACTGTTTTATTTTCATCTGCAATTGGGGACACCTCCTTGTTTTTTCCACGCCGTGACACACTCAGGAGCAATTTGGGGTTCAGCAGGACATGTGTTCTGCAGGAGCTAAGACCGAACTGTCAACCTTTTGGTTGAGAGACAGAACGACTCTACCATTGAGCTACAGCCACCTGACCTAAAAAATTAATTAACTTAAACGTAATATCATTAGTCTTTCTGCCAAAATACACACCTCCTTAGACAATCAAAAAATTAGGTTTGTTTTTGTTTTTAACCAATATATAGAGCTACTTTACAACACTGAGACTACATAAGTAGAGAATACACACATGCAGCAAATAGAACGATCTCTCAATTATTGTCTTTTGTAAGCCTTTACCAGTGTTTGGTTGAAGAGGGACAGCTGTCTGTGCAATTTCTCCACTCTTAGCTTTATAGATGTTGCGTAAGGTGAAGATGCCACCGTGCCCACATTGATAATGCTGTCATCCAGGAGTACCTTCAAACAAACATTCAAAAACATAAACATGCATAAGTATGTGTATTCAAACACTTACAGTGTGTTTTAACAAAGTGTGTGTCAGTTTGTGGTGCACGTTTCCACCTGAATATCCTCTGTGCCTCCTAATATGAAGGCATCTCTGGAGTCATCATGAGATAGCACAGTGAACTCTGTGGTCTTCCACAAGTCCTCAACCTGCATTGAACCATCAAGTCAGTCTATGTCAGCACAAGTGATGCTTTTGGGAAAAAAAGCTGATTCTATTTCTTCTTAGTTGGATGAGTTGTATAAGGTTTAATCCAGGAGATGGTCAATAAGCAAAGCATAAAGGCTGAATACTCCAGGCTCAATAATAAGTGAAAAATATACCTAAAAGACTGCTTAGGCTCACTATTAACACATTTACCTTGTTTGTGTTATCCTTAGCTTAAGGTGGGCAGATTGCTGGAATCACTGTACAAAGAAAGTTTTCCCCTGCTTCCAGCCTATATTGCTAAAATAAGCTTACAAGTTCCTGACTGAAACTTTTTGTGTTGTGTTGTTTTTTGTTGTGTTGAGTTTTGCATGTTGTGTTTAGGGCTTTCAGTGTTAACATGTTAGTTAATTAATTAATTATGAACTTAAAAACTGTTTTGAAATGCAAAATATATGGAATTTTGAACATGGGATTAATCGCCATTTACTATTTACATTCAGGGAAATTGTTGTTTGTTTAACAGCCCTTGTTGTGTTTTTTTGCAGTATATAAAGGAGCTTTCTAATATGGCTATAATTAAGGCAAGACTCCACTGAGACTTAAAATGCAATTAAAAAATGGACATGTTGCAATCATCTGCACATCACTAGCTGCTAAAAGTAAGAAAGTACTAACAAACTATTTGAATTTTGTGACCTGGCCAAAAAATAGGGATTCTGCATACAGCATGACATTCTATCAAGTGTAAGAAAAAGATAAAGTCCTTTTAAATGAAGACAAAATTGTTGAGCTTGGTATTATGAATGATCAATTCAGCCTATTAGGTTCAAAATGGAATTCAAAAGAAAGGCAGAGTAAATTAGTACTGCAGTTTCTCCAGTATACAAGATATACACTCACTGGCCACTTTATTAGGTACAGCTGTTCAACTGCTTGTTATTGCAAATATCTAATCAGCCTATCACATGGCACCAACTCAATGCATTTAGGCATGTAGACATGGTCAAGACGATCTTTTGAAGTTCAAACCGAGCATCAGAATGGGGAAAAAGTTGATTTAAGTGACTTTGAACTTGGCATGGTTGTTGGTGCCAGACGAGCTGGTCTGAGTATTTCAGCAACTCCTAATCTACTAGGATATTCATGCACTACTTCCAGCAGGATAACACACCATGTCAGAAAGCTCATATCATATCAAACTGGTTTCTTGAACATGACAATGAGTTCACTACTCAAATCGCATCCACAGTCACCAAGGCCCGTATTCACAAAGCTTCCTAAGTACTAAAAGTTGCTCCTGGTGACAAAATTCTAAGAAAATTCTTGACATCATGACATTTTTTAAGAATTTCACAAAGCATCTTAGCCCTTAAGAGAGCTCCTAAGGTGTCAAACTGCTAGGTGTAGTGAGAAGGACTCCTAATGCTGCATACACACCAAACGCGGAAAAAATATTCCAGTCACTGGATTGCACGAATGTGATCGCGTTGATCAAATTGATTGAAGCAAAATTTTGCGCATCTGACCCTGAAGCCACAAGCAGAGGGGGAGGGGCTTGTCACCTAGTTACCAATGTTTGTTTTCGTCTCCTTCTCCTATAATCAGACAGCCACAGTGGATACTGTTATCACTGCCTTTTACCTGTTGACCGAAGTCAGAAAAGTTGTAGATTCCAACACCGTCATCTCTGTGTTTACAACATCCTTTAGAGCCATACACATCTCTGTGAATATCACTGTTTTCTTTAGGAAATGTGATTATTACGGCCGCTTTAAGTGCAGGCTAACCACTCGAGTTGTGCAGCTCCAGATGTTTTTTTTCTCATCCTTTCCTGACGTCAGCCTTGTCATCGTCTTTTGTCAATGACGATCGGCTGTCGCGTCAAGGCATTAAGCGAATTTGTCGCTGAAGTTGATTATTTTGAACTCACACAAAGCCACGGCGGACGCGAATTTCACAGAACATTTGGTGTCCATTTCGTTGCGCGACGACTCTACGCAATTCGTGTCATTCCATTGACTTTCTATGTACTTTTGTAGCGCGACAGATTGAATTTGCATTTGGTGTGTACACAGCATAACAGGCTTAAGAGTTTCTTAAGCAAAGGAGAAAATGGAGAAAATGTTCTCCAAACACTACATGAAGAATATTATTTTTGACTCATAGTTGGACAGAACAGACAAAAATGATTTGTGCAGACATTTCAAGCCAACAATGACTATTTTCAGTACATAGTGAGACATGCATGTTGAGTTTCTCTACATGTGTTCACTTCCACAGGTGCATCCAATCACTAATTAAGGCTCTTCACATGCTGCTATAACTATCAGCATGTGAAGAAGCTGCTGCACAAGTGAGCATGTGATTTCAAACATCTCGTAGGCTATATACTTTTAAAGTACCGTAAGTCTAACATATAATATAATATAATATCATTTCATAATGTCTGACTAGAATCTATGTTTGACTTTTTAACTCAATTTTTTTGGAATAACCAATCATAGCTTCTGAAATAATGTGTCATACCTAGCAACGGGTTCAACCACACCTCCTCACTAAGATAAAAGTTTCTGTCCATTTATTGCTCAGAGTTGCCCTGAAAATGTTCCTAAATCCCTCCTAGGCTAAGACTCCTTGCTAGGAATTTTTAGGCTTAGTTAAGAGCTGTCTGAGAGGATTCTCAGAATGTTTGTGAATACGGGCCCAGGTCTCAATCCAAAAGCGTACTTTTGGGATGTGGTGGAACTGGGGATTTGTCTCATGGATGTGCAGCCCACAAATCTGCAGCAACTGTGTGATGATATCATGTCAATGGCTACGTTTACATGTGCACATTTTCTTTAATCTGATTGAAATCATTCCAGTTGGGGATTCCGATTTCACTGTTTACATGGACGCTAAATAAAATGATTAGACTATGCCGTGCGTGTTCGTCACTTCATGTGGGGCAGACATGCGCAATGAAATTTCTTTCCGAATGAGTCTGATCAGATCAGTCTGTTCTGATTGACATGTTTACATGAAGCATTTTTATTCGGATCAGCCTTTTATTCTGATTATTTGTGTCCATGTAAATGCAGCCACTGTTGACCAAAATCTCTTAACAAATGTTTCCAGCACCTTGTTGAATCTATGCCATGAAGAATTAAGGCAGTTCTGAAGGCAAAAGGGGGTCCAACCAGGTACTAGCAAGGTGTACCTAATAAAGTGGTCGATGAGTGTAGATGGATATAATATCTATTAACATCCCCATAGTTAGTTTCTTTTACGCACCTTAGTAATAATGATCTCCACTGATGTCTCTCCTGAAGCCTGACCCGACACCTAAAAGTCAATGGTTGTGTTAGCCCTGTTTATCCAAATCAGACTTAATATTATAACCAAATTTTGAACTTCAGTTCTCACTTTGAGGTCATAAAACAAAAAAAAATGTTAGAAAGCCCTTGATAATATGCTAGATTAAGGGAGAGCAATGGCTTTTAAACTTAGCCTTTTAACAATTAGAAGGAGCGGTGTGTATGATTCAGTGGCATCTAACGCTAAAGTTGATGAACCCCCTATGCAACCTCTTGTCAAGACAAGGCTTTATAATGCTTAAAGTGGCTGTGATTGGTAAAGGCACTCTCTAGTACCGATATTTGGTTTGGCTGTTGTGGACTTCTTTATAAGCATTTGCTGCCTTCAAATTATAAATAAAACTACTACTATATAACTAGAGTATTTCTGCTATTTGTCATGCTTACAAGATACCTGCGCTTAAGACATAACATCCTTTGAGACCAAAATAATTTTCAAATAGGACCTGCCCTTTCAACACATTATCCCTGTTCCGCCTCCATTGCTCACCCATCTTGCAGTCAAACCCAAGCTGATACCAACTAATGTGAGGGTAGCTGAGGTCTAACTGGAGCTTCATTTTATTTGCCAAATGTTGTGAAAACCTGCCTCAGGGCTCTATCTGATACGTCAAATGTTTGAATGCTTTTTAAGAATTCATGGCATCAGTACATCAAATTTTATTTCTTATTCGTTGTGTTTCAGAAGGTGTTATGTGATTTGTTTATTTGCATGTTCATATACTAATTTGGATTCAAATCTACTTATAGTCCAGCTCTTCTTCATTTTTTCAGCGGGATCTTACAAACCAATTTTTAAAGCAAGTAGTAACCAAGTGTAAGAGGGCTCATAATGTAGAATGTGGTACCTCTTGTATCTCCATGCCATAGGAGAAGATATCGATCTCATCCATAGTAGCCAGAGTGAGCTCCTCCGCATTCAAGGAGGTCCCTACAACAGACTCCAGAGACTTCCAGTGCTCTGGTTTAATACATGGGTTACGTAGATTGGTTATCACAGGCAGCTGAGGGAAAAAAAAAAAATGAAAAAATTGAGACTACACAAAAAGTAAAAAATCGTCTGATAAGAACCATCTCGATAAATCACTAGTATCTCCTGCAATTCATCAATTTTATCAACAAACTGCATACATAGATATCACAAGAGAACACTTTGATCCACGCACCCTCTGTTTTGTGAGTTCCACCTTATTCTTAAGACTTGTCACAACATTGTTACGAGGCAGTCCTTTCTCCAGCTGGTTGACATATTTGCTGTATTTGTTGACCTGGGAGCTGAAGTGCTCCAAGTCCAGTTTCTCAAGTGTGCTCTGAGAACGGTTTAACATGGATTGACACGGTCACATTTTTATAAATGTCTTTACATTATTCTGTATGTGTGCATTAAGGCCTTCAAGATACAACATGTTTTGTGCACCTCACCTGTCTCCAGCCATCTTGTAGAGAGTCCCATTCCTCTAAAGACTTCCAAAGCAGTTGTTTCAGCCTAAACTTGGAAATTAACTCCTCCAGGGTGTCAAACTTGGTCACCTGTGCCTTTATTTATAAGAAGATAGAAGAGAAAACTACTTTTGTAACTTTGATTCCAGTTGAGAAACGACCACTGACTATACCACTGACCCACAGTTTAGTAAGTTAAGGTAATCTAACCTTAAAGTACTTTATAAAAGTACATGTTTTAATTGTGTTGTTGTTGTTTTTTTTTGCAAAAACCTTTTTTAAATAACTGAAAGGATGTTAAGAAGTACAACACCTTGAATCTCTTCTGGTAGGAGGTGTAGGTGGAGGCCTGTTCTTGCAGCTCATCGATCAAAATTTGGATTTCCCCTAACAGCAGATAAACTTCGGAGGGATCTGCATTGACATCTAAGATTTGTGGATCCTACAAATAGCATAGAATAAATCTTTATTGTCACTGCCATAAAAAACAAAAACAAAAAAACAGTTAAGCAGCTCTTTGTTATGAATGCATGGATTTAACACAAATGACAGAACAAAAAACACAAAGGAAAAACAAAGGAAAAACGTTAGCAAAGAAACATAGACAACTTGAGTGACAAGTATCTAAAATGAATAGAACTTCTCCACATACCTGTGACTTGAGATTGGTTTTCAAGACCTTTTTGTTCAGCTGCTTTATGTCTTTCTGCATAGAGTTGCAAAACTTGTCCATAGTAGAATCTCTCTCAGCCACTGCCTTATTTATGATACTGTGCAACGAATTCATGGACGGTTTTAAGGTGGCACAAACAACAAGATCCTCAGGTGGTATAGGAACCTTGTACATGTTGATCAGATTGTTAATCTGAGATACTGTCTCATGCTCCTCCTCCAGCACTGTAATCTGGCAAGGAGACACAGTCAGAATAGAAAGGTAGAGAGGACAGAAAGTGAAAAAAGGAGGGCACTGTATTAATGACAACAATAATTTAAAAAAAACTTGTTTTTGTTAGAAACATTTTCAATCACGAAATAAACTGCGATCCTAATCAAATGTGTGTATTACCCTCTCCTGTATTTCATCCAAGAATGTGAGGAAGTTGGCTAACTCGGCTGTAGTGGAGGGCTTAAACTCTAGTTTAAACTGAGCCTCACAAGCCTCAGCAATAATGGCATCAAGTTTCCTCTTAAAAAGTCTGGTAAGCATTTGGTTGATGACCTGGAGAAGAAATATGAGCAATGCAATGATTCATAGACTCGTTCAACATTTTTGTTGTGATGATTTAATATTTGGCTGTATAAGGCATTTTCTTATGCCATATTTTTAAAAGCATTCTCCACAATTCCCTCTCCCAGAGAATGTTTTTTATGAGTAATACCTCCAGACAGCCTAGAGGAGAAGATACCAACTTCTCTTTGAGCTGTGTTTTGACCACACGCAGTAAGCCTAGATGTTTCTCCGGTTGGATGGCTAAGGCCTCCTTGTGCTCACTGTGGTATAACTTTAGTGCTTTTTCAAAAAAGGACAAATCTGTGAAACAGAACAGTAAACATCAATCAGTCTAGAGGAACAACTTTATTTATCATGTCTTAACCCCTTTGTTTTTAAATGTATTTTTCTCTTTATTTAGAGATATAACAAATTTGTACATATTTATTTACATACATATATATATACATAAATATATATATATATATATATATATATAATACAAATATTATGTTGATGTACATCACCATGATCCTGTTGCTGAATTACATGCAGATCCAGACTCTCATTCTCTTTATAGAACAGCCAGAAATGTTCCAGCGTGTGTGAGTATACTTTTGCTGCATCAAAGGCAAACTGCAGGGATTCCTAAGGGGAAACAAATTCAGGCTCATAGAGCCTCATACATACACAAAACTGCACATAGAAACTACACCCTCCAGTGTCAGACACTCGTGGAAAACATCAAACTAACCTTTATGTTTTGGATGTCACATTGGAGACTGCCATCATTGTCAATGAATGATTTCAAACAAGGGCTCTCATCATATCCTTTTGTCACTTCCTAAAAGTTATTAAACAAACATGAAAATAGATACTTAGATTCTATCAAAGATTGATTAGAAAGTCAAATCTAATGGTATATTAATACTTTTTCATTATATTACCAATTACACAAAGGACAATTACATTCTCCTAAACGTACACATCTGGGCCCGTATTCACAAACATTCTGAGAATCCTCTCAAAGAGCTCCTAACTTAGCTTAAAAAATCCTAGCAAGGATTTTTATCTTAAAAGTGATTTAGGAACATTCTCAGGGCAACTCTGAGCAAGGAAGGGACAGAAACTTAGTGAGTTTCTTTAGTGAGGAGGCATGGTTGACCCCATTGCTAGGTATGACAACTTACTTCAGATAAGTGATTGGTTAATCTAAAAAAAAGTCAAACATAGAATCTAGTCAGACATTGTGTAATTATAAACGCTGTGAAATTATCAGCTCTGTGTGGTAATATGTAAGATGAACTTTTAACGTATATAGCCTTCAGGTGTTTGAAATAACATGCACACTTGTGCAGCAGCTTTTTCACATGTAGATAGTTACATCAGCTGATAGGTACATCAGCATGTGAAGAGCCTTAATTAGTGATTGCATGCATGCGTCTCATTTTGTACTGAAAAAAGTCATAGATGGATTGAAATGTCTGCACAAATCATTTTCGTCTGTTCGACCTGACTATGATTCAAAAATACTCTTCCTGTAGTGTATGAAGAACATTTCTCCATTTTCTCCTCTGCTTGAGAAACTCTTAAGTCTGTTAAAAGTCCTCCTCACTACTGCTGTTTCCCACCTAAGAGGTCTCTTACGGTCTAACAGCGTGTCCTAACAGCACACAAGCGTTATATGTTGCGTTTTGTCGCGCAGCAACGGACGCTCGCTGTCCACACTGCATGGGTTAAATATGGAATTCTATGCTCTGTAAATTTCCGTAGCCCCACTTGCAAAGAGAATAACATTTAGTGCTTTTGTACTGAAGGTGGAAAACAGATGTGTGGTGCTTTGTATTAACGAGCAGATGACTCAAATCACAACGGACGGCTGTGGCTCAGTTCGTAGATTTGTCGCCTCTCAACTGGAAGGTCGAGGGTTCGATCCCCAGCTGAGCAACATGTCCGATGTGTCCTTGGGACACTTAATCCTGCATTGCTCCCGCTGCCTCGATGGCAGTGTATGAATGGATTAGTGTTGTACTTACTCTCTGATGTACGTCACTTTGGATAAAAGCGTCTGCTAAGTGAATTGTAACATTGTAACAACACAGAGACTCGTCGGTAAACGCTTGCGATGAGTCGAAAAAAAAAATATTTTCCGGTGTTGACACTAGTCAAAGCTCAACATTTCAATCATGGATCATGGATATTATCAATGCACCGTTATCTCCCTTTTGTAAATGAGCTAACAAACTCTGTTGAGTGAGAAAAGCGAGTGTCAGTGCCTTGTAGTGTCCCATCCTTCCTCGTTCCCTGTCCGTTGACGCGAGCGACAGAGAGGAAAAAAGAAACGGGGCGTCAGAGTAAAAACGGTGCGCCAATAGAATAGAAACAATAAAATCAGGCTGATTTTGTCGCTGATGCTCGTGTCGCGTGCTGTTAGGACAGGCTGTAAAACACGTTATGAATAACTTTCATCTTTACAAGGATCTAGTCTTAACTTTGAGGGGAAATTCTTAGAAAATGTCACAATTCTAAGAATGTTCTTATAATTTTGTCACTAGGAGCAACTCTTAGCACTTAGAAGGCTTTGTGAATACGGCCCCAGGTCTTTTCAGTAACTTTTTTTTCACTACCTTGTCTGCTTGGGGTTTTGTGAATGCATAAAAATCAGGATCAGCGGAAAGTGTATTGACTGACATCACTGTTGACTCAAACAGCCCAATGACCTCCGCAAGTGTCTTCTATGGGAATAGACAAGGGATTTAGGTCAATATGAAAAGGTCAGTGGACAATTAAATTAATTGTAAAGAATTTAGAAAAAACAAACCTGAAAGTTTTCTTCAGAGGGTTTGTAGGTCAAAGCATTTGTATCCAGCATTAGATGAGTTACGAACATGGATTGGGCCCCAGGAGTTTCTGACTTGAAGCACTAAACAAAACAAAACATACAAAAAATGTAAACACTGCTAGTTTGTGTCTTCTTGAAACTCGATTTGGCGGGTATAGTTATTATTAACTTCAATGTTAATAATTAGAAATGCCCTACCTTCTTATCCATCTCTTCTTCAACAGTTTCAGTTTTTGCCTCATATTGCTGGCTCCAGCTCTGAATTATGGCATGACTGGGGGTTTGATGTACCTTCTCACGGACCACAGACAGCAGCTTGGTCACTGCATTTACCATTAAGACGTGCAAGGTGTTAATGACCAAATAGTCAACCAGGCGAATGAAGCTGGATAGGTGAGAGACACAAAAGGACAGTGTTGATAAGATACATATTTTTGACATATATATATATATACACACACACACACACACACACACATATATACTTTTTTTTTGGACAAAATAATTACAAGAAAATTAATGGAAAAACATTTCTTACCAGATGAGGCGGGTGCATTGAAAAGTCTCATTGAGCCCCGCGATAGTTTTCTTCTTTTGATCACCTGTTACAAAAAGAGAGTTCAATCAAACTTTAAACATTGTTGTCTTTTTACATTGTCTACAGTGTCTCCTTATGGTTAGTCTGTACGCACTTGGGTCATCAGACTTGGATAGAGGATCTGACAAGTAGTTGCGACAGCCACAAATTGTCACCTCTTTGATGAGGTCTTCAAACTTCTTTATGTCAGTCGATACCTGACAAAATAATCAAATGAGAAAAAAAAATTACTTCTGGGGGGGCACACAGAGATATACAATATGTATGTACAAGCTGCAAACATTTGTATAAATGTGAAATTGCACCTCTTGCAGTTGTTTGAACTGGATGCCCTGGAACTCAGACAGTGAGTAGGTGTGATTTTTCTCCACGTGAAACAAGCCTGTGTCACTGATTTGGCAACACATTTTCCTGATATCGATCAGTGCCAGACTAAAATACTGTGTGATACATAAAATTGTTAATTACCACGTAATATGGGTATTATTTACAATAATTCAATAAAAAGTTGCTTCCCTCAAAGATTGTTACCCTCACTGAAAATTGACTTCTTCCATATTCAAGACAATTAAATAAGGCTGGGGAAAAAAAATCCAGAACTAACTTTTCAAACAGACACATACCTTACTGGCAATAAACAAATTTGTCTGGAGCGACTCCCTAGCCAAATGGATCTTCCTGGCGCGAACTTTGGTACGCCAGAGGTAGAAGGGTTTCCATTTTTTGAAGAGGGCAAAGAAAGGGATGCTCATCAGCTTGCAGTGGTAGTTATACTGTTCTTCCCAGCGCTCAAGGGTTACAAAGTCAAACTCATCTCCATCGCTGATCAACAAACAGTCATCCTTACTGTACTGATAGATTTTAACTTTGGAGGGATTGTCAGGTTGTCCACTCCTCTTAATGGAAAAAGGTTGTCTGGGGAGACTAGAGGTTGATATGACACTCTGAGACAGCTGAGGAGTGGTGGGAAGAGACAAGCAGAGATGATTATCCTCCTGAAAGTTACTTATTTGAGGCAGTTAACTTATTTAAAATTAAAATTGCAATTTTTAACTTTTAAAAGTATACTTTGCTACCACCATTCATTTCTACAGGGTGGTGAATTGATAGCTTAAAAGTGTGATACTATTGCCAGTTTAACTGATAGCTTTGGATTTAATCTTGCCTTTCTTTAAGATGTATGAACTGTACCCTAATGTGGATTCTTTAAGGGGTCTTTCCTTCATACACGATGCATATCTCTTTTTTTCTTCCAAAACATGTTTGTCACTAACCTTAGTTGTTGTGGATGGCAGAGGAGGTAGGTGGACAGGTAATTGTTCATATCGCCTTCGTGGCTTCTCTGTTTGTCCACAGGGAGGTGTTTGAGTGTACAGGCCTGGAAAAAACAACTGCTCACGGGCTTTCAAGTGGTGGAGACTTGGTTGTTTCCTTTTTACATGCCTCATCAGAACAGCCTATGATAAAAGGAAGAAACTAAAATCTAGGTACACTTTTAATAGTTCCTTTTGCAAATGAGCAAAAGATTCTATTATACAGAAAGTGATTAAATGGCAGTACATTGGTTGTACAGTAAATGCTATTTCAGTTTCATATTCTAAGCCAGTATGACTTGACTCTGCCAAGACTCACCTGTGGGTCGTTAACATGGACTGGGGGCCTCGGTGGGATAGTGGACCTTTGTAGTTCAGGCAGCTTGTGGAGTTGATCTGGAACAATATGCAGAGTAAAATTGTTTGTTCGTTGCTGGCATGTAATATTAATGTTGGCAAACCAAAACATGTTGGTTTTACTATGATAGGCTACCTAAAAGCATCAGCAGCAGGTGTCAACTTTACCTGTGGGTTTAGTTTCCCCGCTGTGGCCTGGGCGGTTCCGCGGAGAAGCCCTTTGAGAGGCGGAGGCCATGGTGAAGGATCTAAATGATCAAGACAAGACGAACAAAAACACAAGCTTACATTTACGTGTGCTAGAAAGTATTTAATAAAACATTTAATCAAACATTTGAGAAAAATATGTAACTGAAATTAACGATCACTTATAAAAGTGCCAGTGGCCGATTATTAAAACACGCAGCTCATTATCTTAAAACATTTAAAACACATGGCGACAAACTTCTACAGTAGCTTACTTAACACTAACGCGGCCACGGTAGTGATCGCTTTTAATTTGGCACGTTTAACCAAATATAATTATTTCAAGCGGAAACATTATGTTTGACAAAATGCGTATCGGAACTGGCGAGCTTCTTCAATTGAGTAGTCTTCTTCTCCGAGAGGGTGTTGAGACATACGTACCGTGTCAAATAGTCAGCTCCGAAAAGTTTTTCATATAGTTCTGCTTCATAGCTTTAAAAACTTAATGCACTTTAACTGTGGCTGGAACTAAAGTTTGCGGTCTCATAGCAACGCGCTTTCTCCCAGGATGCAATGCAGCCAAACAAAAAGAGAATGTTGCTGGTTTTTGTGTTTCACCCTTAATAAGATAAGATAGGATAACATGTACTTTATTCATCCCAGCAGGGAAACTTAGGTGTTCCAGCAGCCAGCATACATACAAACACACAACACAACACATATATACACACATATCCCACCCATACAAAAAACATGAGCCCACAATACATAGCCAGGATAAAAAAAAGTGGTATGGATGGTCCATGTGCATAAGTAGCTGTTACTCATAGATAACAGTACAAAATACTAGCTCTGCCAGTGCATAGTATGATAGATAAATAAAGATTTATTATAAAAAAAGCAGTCAAGTATGCAAATATAGGTGCAAAATACAGTTTGATATATGCAAACGTTTAAAAGTTTAAATGTCTTCTGTCCTTACTTAAAGGGGAGTCATTATAAAGTGCAATTGCAGTAGGCAAAAAAGTATTTTTTAAATCTGTCCTTTTTGCATATTTACAGCCTATGGTTTCACCCTGGGTTGTGTCCGAAATCATTCACTATTCACTATATTTACATTGATATGATTTTGGACACAGGCTTGGTTTCAACATGGCTTTCACCCAAAGACTGTAAATATTAAAACGTCACTCATGTACAAAAGAAAACACAACCTTTAACTCAAACGGCCGTCGAGGCAAGTGGTATTTCATACGCAGGAAAAACAAGTCGATTGTTCAATCAAGAATGATGTTGTCCATATCCATTGTTTAATTTCTGTAAGCAATCGAAGATATGATTAGTCACTTAAAAATGTAATGCTCCATCTACAACCCTGTATAACATTTGGGAACAAAAGTGATGATTATCAAAACATTGAAACCCCACATTTAATGCAAATAACACAAAGACAACATGTAGCCTATAGGCTACACGTTTTAAACTGAGAAGTTTCATACCTTTCAGGAAAATCAAATGCTCGTTTCGAATATGATGCAAGCTAAAGTTTCCAATCAATATGGTATTACATTAAACTCTTTTATGTGGTAGGGAAACATCCTGCCCTAACAAAAAACGTCTGTAAAGCACACAGCTGTTGACGTGATAGAGCTCCATCAATATTCATATTCAAGGGGACGAAGTTGGAAACCTGAGAATAATTAAAAATAGGCCTAGCCTACTCCAAAATGGGGATAATGTTCAGAATGGAAATAATGTTGGCCTGTCATATGTGTTTCAACACTTCTGATAATACGACTTTGTATAGGCTACTACATGTCATGAATAAAAATATTTAGAAACTATTCCCTGTATAAACTGACTTGGTTTTGTAAAACTGACCTATTGAGATCTGGTGTCTGCATCTCACCTTAGAGCTGCATGTATGTCACATACTATTGACAAGGCCTGCAGCACAAAGGGGTTGAGGGCAACCAGTTCAAAACCTGGGTGAGCAGTTATGCAGGCTGCGCCCCAATCTGCTCACATCTATGCATCACCTGCATGAAATGAAAAGATCCATCATTTTGTGGTGGTGTTATATGTATGGATGAATGTGTTATAACTTAAGGTTATTTACATAACCCTGGTTCTCTTAGTAGCATGAGTGAGTGTCTTACTATGGGGAATGCGTCCTGCATGACCTTGTCAGAAGCTTAATAACACTGCGCCAGCCTTTATTGGCTATAAGGATGAAATCTATGTCTGGAGGGGATGGGACCCTCCTCCTATATAATAAGCTGGCATAGCGTTAGCCGTCATTCAAACAAGCTCACCTCTTCCTCACTTCCATTGCAAGGAAGGTGGTCTGGTGAGACATGCACTCATACTACTCAGAGAACCAAGGTTATGCAAATAACCTAAAGTTCTTTTTCATTGCATTTGTTACGTGTCTCACCATGGGGAAAATACTGACTCCTGTATTGCCAGACGAGCCTGCTATGAAGACAACTGCCCCTAGTGGCCCTTACCACAATGGGAGCCACGCCATAAGAAGAAACCCAGCTGAGGACTAAATTTGCCATGGTTGGTGCTGTGACATCCAACTTATAAAATCTAGCAAAAGTGTAGGGTGAAGCCCAGCAAGCTGCGGCACACACCTCCTGGATCAGATATAAAACAATGTGTTCTCTTTGAATAATAGTTTCATCTTGCAGCCACAAACTGTTCACAGGCAATGGATTTTGGAAGTGTCCATGAGCGCATGTAGTAATGTCCATTAAAATATCAGTTCTGTTTTAATGTAGTGTCCTCTGAGGGCCAAAGATCAAAGGCACCCAATATAGGTTTATGTCCCTTGCATACCGCGATTCTATAAGACTCTTTTAATCATTTAATGATATTATGTAAAGTTAATATACAAGACCCAAAGCATAGAATTCCTATTAAACCCCAATCTCTTTAAGTACACTGAGAACCAAGGTATATTTTAAAGGTGTTTATTTGAGTTATAAGAAAACATGTTTTTTATCCAAAACATCACATATTATTCCATCCATGTAAATACAATTCACCAAAAAAATAAAAATAAAAATAATTTAAAACATTGATCATGTTTCCATTCTATCACCATTTTACTAAAGATACTTGTCCTGCCTTTGGCCAAAATGACAATACTTTATTAATAAAAAAAAAGGACATGCTCTAAACAGTAAACTCACAGTATATGACTAAATTATTTCTACTATAGCACAGTGACCATAGTCGTCACACAGTGTCTTCATCACCCATGTTTGTTTTCCTTCGTGGAAATGCCAGAATACTCAGCTGTTTTAAAAAAAGAAAAAGATAAGCATTATAGACGAATTACAAATAACTCAGTTTACAGAGGAAAAGAAAAAAAAAAGAAATATACTCTCCATGTAAGACACACTATGCCATTATTTAGTATTGCACCTTGTTACCCATACCTGTTGTGTCGCTGTAGTTGCCCTTTTTTCAGCCTGCGTCAGACGACTCTGGAGACGACTTATCTTCTCTTGAGACTGTGCTAGCTGCCTCTCATACTGCACACACACATACCAAGTAGTTAAAACATAACTTAAGTTATAGTAAGTTAAAACATTTTTTTCCAACACTTAGGTACCATGACAAATTGTACAAGTATCACCCTTAAGGGAAAGGGACTTGAGGACACCATACAATTCCAGCTGGCGCTCAACATTTGTTAATATTCAGATAGTGTTGGTGAATCCTCTCAATTTGTTTTGAATTCGTCCTCCTTTGAAACTGATAAAAACTACTTTTTTAGTTCATCATACATTGTCTTAACCCAAGACTAAGCACAAGACCAAGTCTATCTGTGCTCGCTTACATCTTTTCTGCAACTAAATTATTTTGCCAGTATCAAAAGGGGAAAAAAAATCACTTGATGTATTTTATTACACAGGAAGGACAGCATAAATTTGACTTTTACAAAGTGTTTTTATTATTTGGTATGATGCTACTTTCCACATGGGATGCAGGTTTCTAAACTCAAACATCCCTGCTTGTTTTTCAGGTGCTACCGGTACTTGTCTGAGTACAGGGTTAAAAGAAAGAGCTCTGACATCTTAACAGATAAAGATGTTCCTTTTAGTAACCATTATTTTCCAAGAATGGCTAACTGCCTAATCTCCTTTCCACTCCAAATGATAATGCATTCTTTATCAAGCCACAGTGTTGTGTGAGTGCACATGCCTGAGTTCCACAAACCTCAACAACAGTATTATGGTCAGTTTCAAGCTCCATCGCCAACTCGTGTGAATGCTGCTTCTGACGATTTAGCTCTGCCCTGAAATATACATTACAAAAAATAAAGCATTTTCTAGGCAAAAACACACAGCTTTATTTTCTAGTGTGGAACATGTTTAGTAATCAAGCAATGTAGTATTGTCTTAAATGGCAAAACATTTTCAGGAAGTTTGTAATATTAGTGTTAACCTTACTGAAATATTTTACACTACTTTTCTGATCAATCTGGTACAGTTAAAAAACATTCCTTAGACAGCATCATGTCTCCAAGGAATGATTACTCTTATTGAGCATGGCATTAATTCATATTAAACGAAAAACAACTAGTCAAATCACATTGATGGGTGTTTGTTGAACAAGTCCCTTATCACTTAAGGGATTTAAACTGCCATCCCTTTGGTTCCATGCAAATTTCATTTCTAAAATTCTTTACTCTATCAAGATTAATCTAACTTCAAAAGTTCTTACTTGAGGCCGGTGATTTTCATCTCAAAAGCCTGAACCATGCTCTTGGCCTCTTCCTTCCAGTGCTGGGTACTTTTCAGCTGGGCTGTAAGGAGGCGTTTCATATCAGCACTGGAGCTTCGGCTGCAGTCCTCCAACTCCTGCATTCTTGCCTCAAGTCCCTTTTCCTTCAGGTTGTACTCCTGCTCAATCTGTGACAACTGCGGAAAGGGCAGAAGAGGGAATGTTTTGAGTCTAAAATTAATTCAAAAAGACATACGTTCAGTCTTCATTTTCTCTACCCTTCTAAACAAATACTAAGCTGTTAATTTTATA